ATTACTAATTAAAAATTCCTTGTCTTTTAAAGGTTAAATGTATTTCAGAGAGGGAAAGGGGATTTGTTGATATTTTTCTGAATTTAATAAAACCTGGCAGAATCAATAATGTCTAAAAACACGATTTACTTCGTTTAACTTTGCCCCTTGCGTATTTTTTTTTTTTTTTTTATTTGTAAAAGTGCATATACAAATTGTACGGATCTGCCGATTGGCTGCGCGATTTGAGATCACTCGAAGTCCCCAGACTTCCAATTCGACGGCCAATCGAAACGTCCCTATTTTCCCCTGAAAGATGTGCTCCGAAATGACAAACATAACATATGGAAGTAATGGAAGTACAGATTTTGAATAGATTTATCAGTAAGTAGTCTTTTCTCTTTTCCTCCTCCCTTCTCCGCGAAACACCCCGAGTTTATTCGTTTCGCTTCGGAGAAAGCGAAATACGGCCGCATGATTCTAGCGTTTCTACTCCCTCCCCTCCCCTCCGCCCTCCCCCATGCTTCCACCCGCTCCGCACGGCTTGCGCAGCTTGCGGTCGAATGCACTGAATGCAGCGCCTTATAAGTAACGGGTTGCGAGAGGTGCGGCTGAACGCCGTCTTGCAATAAATGACAATTATCGAATACAATTGTAGAACAATTCCATGTATTCGAATCTGGTTCCTGCTGATTGCACCTTTCCAGGACTTAGAACGAGCGTTTTTTTCTCGCGGTGGGAAAGAAAGAAAGCGAAGGTGCGTCCGCAACGAGGGACGCGCTATTGATGCGACGCGCGCGAGTCGCCAGTCGCCTGCAGCGATCGAACGTTTTTCCGCCCGAAAAAGGGTCGCCCTCCGACCTATGAAGGGAGCCGCCGCCGCGCGAGGAGAGCGTTTCCTTCGTGCCGCGCCGCCGCCGCCGCCGCCGCTCTCGCGTCCCTCGACGCGGACGCGACGAGGAGCACGTGACGGCCAGACGCGCATGTCGTCGCGCAGGTGTCGTCCGTAACCAAGAGCGAAACGGAGCGGCGTCGGAGATCCGCGGTGGCCGCGACCCGCCACGTCTTCCTCGCGGAGAACCGAAAGGACGGGGGACAGCCGGTCGCTCCGCCGGCGTTCCGACGGTGCTCGCCTGGATCGCCCCACCATCGTCGATCTGCCGTTTTCTCCCTTTTTAGGTTAGAATCTCGTCCTCTGCTATACCGGGTGTCCCGCAAGTGTCGGCGATGTCTTAGCGACACTTCGCCGACACCTCTGCGGGAAGAATTGATTTATTGTATTTATTAATTAATTATCTATTTCATTATTGATTATCTGTCATAAATTTATTTATTGAGCTTGTGAAGGATAAGATTTTTTGTTTTCATATTTAAAATTTATGTATATATATATATATTTTTTTTTAATTGAATTTTGAATGCACGAATCGTTTCACAAGCTCGTGAATTTATTGTTAAAATTTGCGAATACTAATACTCTTGATTTATCTTAACGAACAATCAGAAACTAATGCTTCGATCAATCGCTAATTGCCTTGTATTTTTCTAGCCTTTAGATAGAAACAAATTTCTCGATAAGATCACGATGTCTGTGACCGAGGAAAGGATCCAGGATCTGAACCGGCGTTTCGTAGACTTCATGAGCAAGCCGGAGAACGTCGAGGCAGCCACAAAGGAGATCTACGATGACTTGTTGGATGAGGTTCTGATGGGCTTTGTCTTCGACGTGCACCGTACAACCAAGACTGGCAGTTCCGACGTCGAGGAAGGCATTCCCGATGACAAATCCTATGCCATTGTCGGTACGTAGAAATCCAACAAAAACGGTGATTCAAAGAGTTTTTTGTTCGAATGCAGCGATTGTGGGAAGATGAAAAATTGATAAGCGTACATACACGATTTCTCACAAATTTATATCGTTCTCTGTTATTAGATTCGCCCGGCCTAGACGTGTTCGGTCAGCATCCGATGAAGAAGTCGCAGGAGTGCAACTGCCCGAATTGCGAGCGTGGCGTGGCGGCTTGCAGATTCGCCACTCACCTGGCGAAATGTATGGGCATGGGCAGAAACAGTTCGCGCATCGCGTCGCTTCGCATCGCGAACAACTCCAAGGACATGAACAACTACGGCGGCGTGCTGAGCGACGACGACGACGACGTCGACTGGAGCCTGACCAACGATAGCGGCAACAAGCGCAAACGTCCGCGCAAGGATCGCAACGGCGTGAGCAAGCGCTCGGCCAAGCAGCAGAAGCAGCAGGGTAACGCCGGCGCCGGCGGTAGCGGCTCGCAGCGGAACGGCGAGACCGGCACCATCGTCGGCGGCAGCGGCGGCGAGCACAGCGTGCACAGCAGCAACGAGAGCTCGCCGTCGAACTACGAGAACATGTCGCTCGTGGACAAGCGGGCGCTGCTGACGCAGATCTGCGGCGTCGTGTCCGAGCACACGAAGAAGCTGTGCACCAGATCGGTGCGGTGTCCCCAGCACACGGACGAGCAGCGCAGGGAGATACGCGCCAATCTGGAGTCCAACGGCCAGGACAATCTGCACGTCGACGTGGACACGTACGAGGAGAGCGACAGCCAGAATCTAAGGGACACGTTAACGAGATGGGACCGGGAGGGTTCGAGTCACTCCAGCCCGGCCGACTCCGCCTCGACCACGTCGACCTCGTCGATCAGCCGGAAAAGGGAGACCAAGTCCAAGGGTAAGGGGAAGGCCTCGTCGAAACGCGATCGTGGCTCTCCGATCTCGCAGGGGGACTGAGGGGGGGAGAGTCGATCTGGAACTGCTTCTCGGTCTTCTGGGAATGTTCCTCGGTCGAGGCTCACTCTCCGGCGGCAAAGAAATACTGTATGATAATGTTCCTACGGGCTGTACATAGATCGAAGGGAGATGATTTCCCTTGATGATGATTGCAAAGCTTGCGTAATACTTAATTCTAAATATTACTCACGGCGTCCTTTTATAATTATTATTTTTAAGAAAATAAATAGCAGCGAATTGCGAAATGAAATATGAGTGAGATATCCTTTGATCTGGACATCCTTTATTACAGTTGGTCTCCCAGATATTATATAAAACTTGATGTATTTCTAGCTTTACTATATACATTCTAAAACGGCGTTGAATTGCTATGCACGATGCTGTGCAAGATTTGTCCTTTCAATTCGTAATATTAGATCATTGATAAAATTTTATTAATCTTATTATTTTTGTTATTTTATTAATTTTATTATCTTTGTATTACCTTTGGAATTGATTCGAGTGCTTCGGGTTGTAATTGATTTGAAAATTAGTAATATTTGGATGACAAAAAATCAGTTATGGCCTTTTGTAAGAAATATATATATATTTTTTATTTTTTATTTTGTAAAAAATATGATAAACGTCCGAAAATAATACAGTCATACTCTTATTTGGAGTATACTTCAACGCGCGATGGATAGTTAATGTCACACGCCAGAGTTGCGGCGAGCTGATTATAAAGATCTATCGGCTTGTAAACCATAATGCAATTCGAAACAGTAGAGATAAGGTGGCGAGCACGTAGAAGATTAACGATACCGAACGCAGTCCGAATGGAACACTCGACGGATTCTACTGCATAGCTTGTGCATAATGCTGCTGCGATTTGCGGTAAGAACCTGATCCTGAAATATTGACAAAAGAATACAAAAAATACATCGCTATATAGCAATTTTAAAAAAGTGTAATGAAGAGAAATTTAAAATAGGGAAAAAGATAACTTTTTTTAAAATTGCATAATAAAATTAGTTCTCACTTGATTGCTTGTTCATCTGCTTTCCAGCTTCCGGGCAGGATGCGATACTCGCTGTATACTTATATACTTATACTTTCGTGCAATATTTCTATGGTATTCTCCAAGGGTAAGTTTTCCATCATTCTAGAATATCAGAATTGAATACGCGAGAGAAAATAAATTAAATCGTATGTTATATGAATAAAAGTAATTCAAATTTTTAAAGTAAACATTTAAAGTGAATTTCTTTGAACAAAATTTGTAAGAAATTCCGATATTAACGAAATTCGTCTTTAACGAAATACGCATTATTTTTAAGTAAATATACGATTTATAGCAAATCTTTTTCGGAATAAAAGGTCTCTTCATCGAGAGATTCTATATTAAACAGATTTCTAGTAAAAACGTTGACGCTATGGTAAATTTAACGATTCATCGTAGTCGATGTAACGAAGCATCCTAGCTGGTCGCTACTGGAGCACAATAGCTGCGGTAATTCCAACAGCGATCGCATTATCGGCGGCAAGAACGCGAGCCTCGGCGCGTATCCTTGGATCGCGAGAATAGGATACAGCGGGACTAACGCCGACGGCGCGTTAAGCTACAGATGCGGTGGAACGATGATCAGTCGGCGATACGTAGTCACGGCTGCCCATTGCGTAACGAATTTACCCGAAAAGTACGTATAAATAAATGTCATTAAAAAAATGCAAGGAAGACCTTCAATTCTCATGTATTACGCCAAGCGCACACAGCGTTCGATCGAAGTAATTATTTTTAATCGTCGAGATTAAAAGGAACGAAGTAAGCATTTCTTCGTTAGATCGTATTACTCTGCGACACAGTAAACGATGATTTTGCAGCTAATTATCTCTTCTAGAATAAAAATATTCGAGACACGCTCCAGATAACTTGAGGATGTTCAATCAGAAATGTACTGCGCGCTTTCGTAATTTAACTTGTTATTATTTAACGCATATATCTAATAAGTTTCAAAGTCGGCGGAGTCCGTTTGGGCGAGCACAACATCGTGACTGATCCCGACTGCGAGCAGGGATATTGCGCGGAGCCGGTGCAAGATTTCCTGCCCGAGTCGGTGATCGTTCACGAGGATTACAACAAACCGTCGTACAAGAATGACATAGCCATAATACGGTTGAACAAGCCGGTGGTTTACAACGGTGAGTTTATCAATCGATCAACCTAATCGTTATATTCCAGTCGATTCATCGTCCGGTCTGTCTTATCGAAAATATATCTGCTTTTCTTTCTGTATGTATCACAGAGCACGTGAGACCGATTTGCATGATCAACGGTGAACTCCTCAGGAAGAACTTCGTCGGCGAGATGGCGGAAGTCGCCGGTTGGGGAATTTATGATATCAGTAAGACATTTAAGCTAATAAATATTTAAACTTTATATTTGCTTCGTACGTTTTCCTGTCTCAAAAGAAGAGTTTCCATAATTTCGTTTTCCTTATTTTTTTCCATTTGCAGAAGCTCCGAAGTGTATCAAAACGTTTTCTAAAAAATATCTAACGTCTAATTCTTGAATTCATGTTAAACTGACTGGCCTCATATTTGTCTTTTCATTTTTTTTTTGGTCATATTTTTTTAAATCCTGAATCTACAGATTTTAATAAGATATACAAATCGTCTTGTTGTCGACAGATGACCCGAAGCCTAGCACGATCCTGCAGACGGTCAAGCTGCCGATCGTCGAGATGGACAGATGTGTGATGGCTTTCAAGAGATACGCGGACGTGTCGGTGGACCAGCAGATGTGCGTGGGTGGCGTTCAGGGCCAGGATTCCTGCGGCGGTGACAGCGGCGGACCCCTGATGCAAGTCAACAGCTTGGACGGACCCCCTAAGTACTACTTCATCGGTATCGTTTCCTTCGGCGCAAAATCCTGCGGCGCCTCCAGAACGCCTGCCATCTACAGCAGGGTCGCGACGTACACTACATGGATCATGAACAACATGCTCCCGTGAAAATGTTCAGGTCTAATTTAACTGTGGACGAAACAAAATTACAGTCTATCTGGTGAACGTTTTCTCTTGTCGAAATATCGGCAGAGAGTAGTTTCACCTCTAATTTTATTTAGAAACGCAATTATTTTTTATTTAGAACAGTTTACATCAGAATCTCTTAATTGTGCCGAAAAAGCATTGATATTCTCAATAATATTAAAAGTAAATCTGTAATAAGTACATATTAAACGCGCTTTTACTAAAGATAATTTATAACTGAAAGCAAACAGTTGTAAATAAAATTAAAAAACTTTTAATTTAAACAGAGTCGCAGGATTTTCCCATGTGCGAGCATTCGACTACCTCATGGAAGTATAATTATCTCATAAAGCTGATTACACAAAAATTAATGGAAAATTTTTAATCTCGCCTTCCCTCACCGAAACTGTCCGCGCTTATTTCATTATTCGCGGAAGTAGTTAATAAGGGCAAATTAATGGGCAAATTAATACAGGATGGAAATTAATTTAAATCTAATTCGATTGAAATTTGGATCGAAACGCGTTTTTCTAAACCGACTTAAACGAGTTTATATATATTTATCATAATCGAACGTCGCGATGGAGATCTCTTCGTGGAGATGCGCGACCGCAACTTCCGACCTTTTCACGAGATTCCTCTTATGTATGATATATTACTGAATACTTGAGGAAAAAAGTTTGGGTGTTCCCGCTTCTCATTATCAGATCTGGATTGCGTTGGTTACATACACATAATATGAGCTGTTTTTCTCCACTTTCCGAGGATTGAATCACTTTTCTGCGGAAGCTCGGCAATGCGCTCGTTATCACTGCGCGCTCGCATGGCAAGTGCATGCAGCGCGATTAAATATGAAACGAGAACAATAGTCGCTTCCGTGAATTTTTAGAAAACAAGATAAAGGATGCCCTTCTTTTACGAAATCTAGAATGTAAAACCCAGAATGAATTTTCGGTCACGAGATCGATAATGCAATTTTTGGAACGGAACGGGGGGAAATCTGTAGCAGTTGCTGCTTCATTCAATGTAATTACAAATGCATACGCGCGATCCTTTGAGCGCATTTGCAAGCCAGTGAGTATAGGATACGACCTGTATTACGCTACATACATATATACATGAATTATGCGTTATACTAGATAACGCGCATATATAAAATAATTGAACCGTTAATCGGCCAAAGACTAGTCATAACCACCTAAAGCTACTGATAGAGAGTGCTTACATTGCTTTCGCAATTCTGACGTCTACGATTGAGAGATCAATTCCTCATTGGCGAGATCGGTGACGTCAAGGCACTTTCCTTGAATCTATAATTCGATCTAAAATAACTTTTCTTCAATACATGTGTGTTGCGGAAGGAAAAAGGAAAACTCGGCAACAGGATCATATTTGAAGAGGGAGGTATTTACATCTTTCAGAAATCCAGGATTTCCCAAAAAATAATCTTATTTATCATGTTAAATTTATGATATGTAAATTAAACTGGAACTAGAAAAACTTGTACATATATAAATATTGCAAAGTATATCTAAGTTATATATAAAGTATATATAAGTTCTTTATTATATTATACACAAAATTATATAAACGAAATAAAATATTTATGATAAATTTATCTTAAAAAAATACTACTGGCGAAAAAACAAGAAAATATAAAAAGAAAAATTGCCAATAAATGAGAGGAATATGGATTGGAATTTATATTATAGCGAAAGCCCCAGTGGGCAGAATTGTAAGGATTGGCAATGCGTAAGTACTATTAATTAATACATTTACTGATATTAATCTTTTTTTATATTAATCTCTATATATTATAACTGATCTTTATAGTATCTTCAACTATGATTATATATGATTATATAGTTATAATTAATATATGTATATAATCATATAATTAGTATATAAAACAAATTATATTACAAATTTCATTATTACAAATAATACTTAATATACTCCAACGCATAATTTATATACAATTATTACTGTCAATATAAAATTTTTTAATAACTGAAAACTTATTCAAAATATAATTACTGAAAAAGTTTTCCCCCTTTTATTTTTCTTTTCTCAAAATACGTCTGTGGGTTTATCCAGACAGAAATAGGAATTTTTCCCGACCAGTCCGTTCCTGCTAATTAGCTTGGCGAAGTATGTTGACAGCGATGGTGGGGACAGTTGTTGACCCTGGCTCTGGTCACTCTATCATGGATACTATCGCCAGTTGATATCTTGGTCTTCGACAAGACAGCGACATAAAACGAAGGGAGTCTGGACCGAGCGAGTCCTCGTCAAAGTGTGCTGGTGATGATCTCTTGGTACTCGCTTAATAACAACGAGGTTGAATTATTCGATGAGAATGTCGACGTCGACCTTCCTAGTGTCTTTCAAGTTTCTGACGTTGTTACTGATCGTCAGCATCAATGCGCGTAAGTTGATTCTTCTCAAACTCCACATGACACAACATCAATCATTTAGTTCAGTGATAGGTTGTAGGCTATAATTAATTCTAATTTATTCGTTTATATGTGCTTTTCCGCGTTCTTGAGAATGTGAGAAATATCATAAAAATATTTATGATATTTTTCATTCTTTAAATTCTTGTAAACATTATTCGATTTTATATGCCGTTTCTGCTGCCTGTACTAGCTTATTAAAAGGCAAATTCACAAAGAGCAATTTGAATTAGTTCACCAAGGTTATCAATGATTCAACAATAACTTATCTTATGTATGTACAAATAAATAACTGAAATAAATAAAAAGAGTACGAAAATATTCAGTAGATAGTTTTGATATTATAAATGATGATTATAAATTTCGATATAATATATCGCTGATCGTACCTCAAATTTAGTTCCATCAGCTGGAAGCTTAATCACCGCGTGACGCGATTATCTCGATTCGCGACATTATTAGTTATCAATCTATGACACGCTTCCGCGAAAACAAAAGTCAGATCCCGGTCTCTCATCGCGTCTCTCTCGAATTGTATACACGACATTATTTTACATTACGTCACCGAATTAATGGCTAGCGTCGAGAATCAGGAAACGAGCATAATCAACGCGATTGAATCAGCTTCATTCGATTTCGCGCGCTGCAACATTTCGATTTAGGATCCCCGGATTATAGATATTTCTCAGATTATTCACTGCAGTTTATATTAATGTATATTTGTATCGTCAATGATTTATAAATACATTTTTTGTATTAAATAATATTAATAATATCATTTGTAGTATTGTGTGAGGCAGTGTAAGATATACTGAATTGTGTAACAATTAAAGATCTATGGATCCGTCTACAGACGGATTCTATATAAAAAAATATATTGACCAGTTTCTTGTTCAGAAAACTGGAAATTCTTGATGGACAACTTCTAAACGCTAGACAGATAGCGAAAAATTAAAAAAACGTTGCATTTATTATTATAACGACGCTATTATGCAAAGTTACCATCTTCCAATCCGAAAAAGTTTTTTACGTAAGCTGCATATTAAATCAAGAATCGCGGTGCAGGATTGCGTTTTGCAAGAGAAAATTAACTCTTTTAATTCTTTCTTAAAATTAATTTACTGGATATAGAACGAAAATATTTCAGCAATTCTAACATTGATTATACTTTCTTATCAATAATACCTTTCTGATTGACGTTTCATTCTTATTTTTTGCAGAAGACTCGCGGGATAGCTGTACAGTCGACGGCCAGGCGGGCACGTGCATACTCGCACGTGACTGCTCACTGGTGTCCAATATTCTGCAGCAGTCGCGGGAAGAGGCCTTCGCCTATCTGAGGCGCAATCATTGCGGCTACGAGGGCTCGAATCCAAAGGTGTGCTGCATCAGCAGCAACGCGACCATCGACACCCGTCCGGGCGGTTATATAAGGAATCCAGGGACTACAGAGAGAACTCGGAACCCAGAACCAACCCCGCAACCTGACGGCAATGCTCAAGTAGATCTGGCGAACCCGTTGCTGCCGAATGTCTGCGGCCGCGACCTGTCGCAGAGACTCCTCGGTGGCGAGCGCACCGAGCTCGACGAGTTCCCGTGGATGACGCTGTTGGAATATCAAAAACGTGGGTAGACGAAAATTAATTATTTTTTCGTTAAAAGTTCATACTCTTAAATATCAACAATATTGCAGCGAACGGCAAATCGACGGCGTGCGGCGGAGTCTTGATCAGTCAACGTTACATCCTCACCGCCGCTCACTGCATCAAGGGCAAGGACCTGCCACCCACCTGGCGCCTGGTCAGCGTTCGCCTGGGCGAGTACGACACCGACACCGAAAGGGACTGCATACAGGACGGCGGTAACAACACCGGCAACAACGTCAAGCAGGCGTGCGCCGACGATCCAGTAACCGTAGGTGTGGAGGAGCAAATCGCTCACGAGGAGTACCGGCCGCAGTCGCGGGATCAACGTTACGACATCGCGCTGCTGCGTCTGAGCCGCAACGTGACGTTCACCAACTACATCAAGCCCATCTGCCTGCCATCCAATTTGTCGACCGGAAGCAGGCTCTATGTAGCCGGCTGGGGCAAGACGGAGACCCGTTCGGCCTCAAACGTTAAACTGAAGCTTCAGTTGCCCCTGGCGGACAAGGAGGAGTGCGACGAGACCTACGCCAACGCTGGTGTTCGGCTGGGCTTCGGGCAGATCTGCGCGGGCGGCCAGAGAGGCAAGGACTCGTGCCGGGGTGATTCGGGTGGTCCTTTGATGTCCGTCGAAAGAGTCGCCGACGGCAGCGGCAAGTGGACCGCCGTGGGCATTGTATCCTTTGGACCGTCCCCCTGCGGCATGCAGGGATGGCCTGGCGTGTACACGAAAGTGACTGACTTCGTCCCCTGGATTCTTAGTAAATTGAAACCGTAAACGAAGACATCATCTACGAAAAAAAGTCACCCACTGACCATCGTTTAATAAAATGACTCTTTGAAGAAATGTACGGAGTTAAAATATATGTTATATGAATCAATGTATTTTGCAGTCTGACTCTCTCGTTAGCAGTGTAGAATTAATTAGTGCAGAGATTCAGTACACGCTATTAAAGTAGAATATTATATGTTATTAATAATTTTATCAGTTTTTTTTTAGGAAATTAATAAACAGAATAAGACGAAAAAAATTTTGAATTGTGATAAATGAGTTATATATATTAAGAAGATGAAAAAATGAGATCCTTATGTAATAATAATGAAATATATTTCTCTCTTTGTTTTTCATATGTACAAAAGAAAGACCTACAAATATACTCAATAATACTAAGAAAACATGTGTAGTTAAGTGACATTAATTGCTCATTCGTTTTAGCTGCATTTATAATGCCACGTTTTATAGCAATTCTTAAATACTTTTAGCAAGCTTTATTCAAATAAAGTGTAATAAATTTAATTTAATAGAATAAAATCATGTCGATTAATTATTATGAAATCGATATCCATACAGAAGTTTGTAGCTTGTAAAACGACAATTTGTAAAAATATTTGTTAAGTTTTTAATAACATTAATAAAATAAGGCAAACGAAAATTCTTTTTCAACTGTATTGAATTAATAATTACCTTCTTCTTTTCTCGGCACACTATGTTCACTGATATGTAACATATCGGTGATTATTCTTCTCTTTCTCTTTTATTATCCTAACGTCGTTTTAATAATTTCTTTGCATTTAATTTAATGCTTTTCACATTTGTGTTATCTTTTTTACAATTTGGTATTATTGATATTTTTCTTTTAAGGATTGGTATTCTTGTTCCCATAATGTCGAAAGAATTTTTATCGTTATAATACGATCATATCCTTGACTCGTATCACTATACTAGATTTCCAGGAAACAATCGACCACCAATAAATTGCAACACCATTTGCAATAATTTACATCTTTATCTGATGTCTAATATAAAAATAATATAAATAAACCGATTTCTTGGTAATTTTACTCTTTTTTGAGGAAAACTTAGCATAAAATCACGAACTGTTGGATCGCAAAATTATATGATCGATGATTATGTCGATCAATAAATTGCATCTGTTCATTTGACCTCAAAATTATCAAAGCCAAAGGGTCAAACTGTAGACTTGACCTATTGCCGTTATCTCGTTGTAACAGTTTATGCTAAACAACTTCGAGAAGCATAATCAAGTACGTCGCATTAAAATAAAAAATACAATTCATTAATTATATAATACTTAATAACAGTCCTAAAAATTAAGAATTTCCGCATTAATTTGAGAAAAAAAAACGACAAATCATCGAAATTTTTTTCCTCTTCGCAAAAGAATAATACTCGAAAGCTCGGTGATTGATTAATTGCTGCTAATCGTGTGCCATTAACTCGTCGATGGTATTTAATTGTCTTCAGTGATAAATGCTTTTTCGATATCACGAGGAATTTCCAAACGAACGGATCTCTGCACTTTGTACGTTGTGGCTGTAGATCACGATGATGTATTTAAAAATTTTACTGAATTGAAGTCAAAATTAATAAAGTGATACGGTTTTAATAACCAATTTAGTAGCTGATATTTAGAGGAAAGTACTCATATTTAGTAACTTTCCTTGTCCGATGACTAATGGTTGCATATTTCAACAGGACAACACACAACTGCACTCCTGCGTGAGCTTGATCATGCAGCAACGATGTCTTGGGGGAACTCCCGTTGATTACAAAAGCCATGACGCGCGTTTATTCTCGAGCAACTTTTTCTTGCAAGATTTCTCAGAGTTATCATCTTCCGAGCGGGAACGAAAGAATCTGTAATTATAGTTCCAATAGCCAAACTTTTTTCTGCCTGTTTTCCTTTCATTTTATCCTCTTATTTCTTATATCTTCTCTTCGCGCACGCTTTTCAGGAAAGATTCCCGCGACGTCACTTCGCCTTTATTTTAACTTTATTTATAGACGACATTAATCTAGTCAAAACATTAAACGTCTTTCTTAGAAGAAGAATGTTGATTTTGTTTATATTTATAGTTTAATGAATAATCTTATTTTTTTTTCGAGAAATTTTGCCGACACTGTTAATTAAGATTTAACGAAGCAAATTAATATATGTTTATTCGCATCTATAGCTTTCATGATCTCCGAACACAATTCTTGGGAATAACATAATTCTTGAAATTGTTAATAAAGAAACAAATGCATGTGGCTAAAGTTAATTGTACAACTCTTTAATATAGCTTTAAAAATATAATATAAAAGTTTAATATTTAAAGTTTGAAATTAAAAATCAAATTTCCAGAATAAAATAATATATTAATGTACAAAATAAACATTTACAATAGCTTTTTAAGCAAAAGTTATGAAATCTTTTCCAGTTGCAAGTTGATGAACTTATCGAAAGCAATGTATTGAAAAAAATCCACCCTTTATTGATATTTAACATGTTTATAAAATAAAAATATCTAACATTTACAAAATTATCATTTACAAAATTATGTTTACGAGTTATTCTCAATGATAGGAATTGCGCGAATGGATAATGAAATGATTTCTTAAAAAAAGCTCGTGCGTTTCCGACTTTCCCGGAATCGGGCAACTCGCGAATCGCGCAATTCAGTTATAATCAGCAACGAACCACAACAACCAATGGATAATCATCATCATTTACGATCGTCCCCACCAAGAACAACAGATTTAAGACCCAACAAGTAGTGGAGGAGCTCAGTCGATTGGCGACTCGCGGCTAGCCGATTAATACAGGTTTCAGTCTGACCTGTGGTATATCTCGGCTTGAAAGCGCGGCCTCGACACACGAGATAGGTCGAATATCGCGAGTGGGATTATTATCTCCGACGAAGTGCGTGCTCTCTCTCTATCCGAAGCGCGTTAATTGGCGAGAGCCATCAGAGCGAAACAGGAAAATCCCCGCTCGTTTTGATTCGCAAGGGAGAGAAGAAGAAGGAAAGAAGAATAGCTACAAACCCCGAGATTGATTGGCGAACAGTTAATACTATGCTGATACCACAAATAAACATGATGTTCATCGTTTCGCTCATCTTCTTCATTTCTCTAACAACAATCGATGCACGTAAGTATTTCATTAGATGTCAGTTCGTTGCAATTCTATTTGAAAAAAGGGGATATGTATCTATAGTCTTTTCTTCAGTAAAGTTCTTACGGCGAATTTTTTTTGACATTTTTAAAAAAATTGCGTTTATTTTAAATCGTAAGACCACATTTGGCATAATAAATTAAGATATAATATTTACAATTAAATGAATCTATCTGAATCTCATCGTACATTTATATTTTATAGGTACTTTTCTAGATAAATATTTAATTTGAGATATTCTAAATTATTATGTGTAATGTTTAAAAATCGATATGCCGGATTTATTCTAAACTTTGAAAGAGCCTGAATTTTGTGTCTAAAAAATGGCTGCTTAAAAAATATTGATTAAATTGAACAATAATTTATTATTGCAGAGAATGGGTGCTCAAATAGAAATGCTAATTGCGTTAACATACGCAACTGTCCGGAGATAATATCCATTTTGAGAGGTCCTAGACCACTTTCGGCAGAAGCGCTGCAGACTCTTAGGAATTCGCAATGTGGCTTTGAAGGCAACGACCCGAAGGTTTGTTGTAATCAGGTAAATGAACTTGACCTAAACGCATTAATTTATTAACAAAAACATTAATTTACTAATTAATTTAATAATAATAAAGTTAAGTTAAATAACACGTAATATAATTCATAATCTCTAATTTAAGGAGAAACTAAAAATCTAATATAATTTCAAATTAAACAGAAAAAAATTAAAAAGCAAAAATTTTTATTAGGAGATATTATTAAGAAATTAATTATTAAAAAATACACATTTTTTGCGAATAAATTAGCAACTTGTATTAACACTTTTATCTTTTTATTTGTTTTCGACTCCTTGTTAATTTTTAAAATAAATTTGTGCAATTTTAAAAGATTATTTATTGGCAGAGTGATTATTGGTTCTCGTCGAGGACATCAGATTAATGCGTTTCGGACGAATGTTTATCATTTTCCACATGTCTGTGATATATCAAATTATACACATACATCGCATACTGTCGTTATTCGTGTACGTAATAAGGATGCGTCGTTGCGAACCATTTAATAGTCTTTTGAAATAATACTGAAACAGGTTTCTGTGACCTCGACTTTCCGTTTTATCCCGATCTCGTTGTACTAGCAGGACGTCGGCTGCGGCTTTATATTCGTCGAAATCTGAAATTTATAAAATATTTTATAATACGTCGTAATAATAAAATTTGAGTTTTTGCGATTTAATTTATTGCGATAAAAATCCCCTTATTTCAATTTTAATGACAAATTCTTTGAAAAAAACATTGAAAATATTTTTACGCTCAGTTCTATTATTTTTAAAGATTTTTAATATCGTTTCGGAAATATGTCACTTTCATATTCGCAGAACATAAATTTTCTTATAATTGTTCTCTCTCTCTCTCTCTCTCTTTCTTTCTTTCTCACAATTGTAAAATTTTTGAATTTTCGCTTCTGTAGTAAAAATAAATAAAATTAAAGTGTTGCTTTTCCAATTAATCTTCAGCAACAACCCACAACGTCTTCAGAAACTACTGATCCAAGTCCACCAGATGTGACGAACCATCCGAACCTGCGTCTGTTGGATCATGGAGCGTGCGGACCTCCCACTCAGTCAAAAATAGTCGGCGGTAACAAGACCAGAATCTTTCAGTATCCGTGGATGGCGTTAATCGCATACGACACCGGAAGACCGAATCCGGAGTTCCGTTGTGGCGGCACGATCATCTCCTCTCGCTACATCCTCACTGCCGCTCATTGTGTCACGACACTTCCAGCGGGTAAGGAAGACTCGTACAGACTCGAAAATAATGGCAAAAACAATGGAAAATGCAGTTAAACTTAAATTAAGAAATTAAAGATTAAATTTAAAAAGAAAGTTCGAAAGATACTTAATAAATATTCGCGAGTTTTATTCATTTTTTTTTGTAAAATAAAATTCACAATCTCGAATCGTTCATGTTCCAGGTCTCAGAGTGATAGGCGTCAGAGTAGGGGATCACGACTTGAGTAGGGAACGTGACTGCGAAACGGACAGCAAAGGACTCGAGGTCGTGTGCGCCGAGAGGTACCAGGATTTCGGTGTGGAGAGCTTCGTATTCCATCCGGATTACACGAGAACGAAGCTGCAAAATGACATCGCGCTTATCAGGTTGAATGGTACCGTGGACTTCCGGCCTCGGAACGTCAAGCCTATTTGTCTACCCTTCGGCTCTGCGGCGGAACTGACCCATACTAAGGTGAGAATAATCAATTACAAATAATACATTCTTTCCATTCAATTAGAAAGTCAATTATAGTTCAATTATAAAGAAAGAAGTAGCTGAAAAGATTTACGAGTTACATTTATTTTCCTTCAAAGTATTCAAATCTACTATTAATTTGACAACTAGAAAATAATGTTTAAATAGTTTTTGTATTCACACACACACCCAAACACACACACACACACACACACACACACACACAAATTGAAATATTTCACGATTATGTCTCTTCGAATCGATCCTTTAATCCATTAAATTTTTTTTTGAAACATTCTCTATCGGTTTAAAAAAAAATTCGTTTCAATTCCGATTTGTCTCTCGATTTTCGTAAAGACTAATTTATATTTCAAAATTTCCGTTTGACAGGGTACAGTGACCGGCTGGGGCGCGACGGAGTTGGGCCCGCGCAGCCAGGAACTTCTATATGTGAACCTGCCGTTGATGTCCAACGAGCAGTGCAAAGAGGTATACAAGCGGACCACGGAGATCTGGTACAAGCAGCTATGTGCCGGCGGCCAAATGAACGTGGACTCCTGCTTGGGCGACAGCGGTGGGCCCTTGCAGGCGAATGGCATATACAACGGCAGATTGGTGCGCATCATTCAGTACGGCGTGGTTAGCTATGGCCTGAGGCAGTGCGGCACCGAGGGCTTCCCCGGAGTCTACACCAAAGTAGTTTATTACATGGATTGGATCCTGAACACGATGAGAGATTAAAACATGCGACTGAAATACAAGACTTTTGCAATACTTTAAATCTCCATGTACTCGACGCGGTAATGTGGATCGCGACGAGAATAAAAACATAAATTTTGTAAGGCGTTCGATAAAAGCAATAAGTACGTAGATAAATAAAATTGATTTCGAAAGATCGGCAGGACGAGTAAAATTGCATTTGAAAAGGAATATCTTCAATGTTTGTGGAAGTAAGCGATTTAGGCGTCTATAGGAAGGTGATCCACGAGAGAACCACCGTTGGTATTTTTAATTAATAAAAATAAATTGTTAATTTTTAAAAAATTTGTGCCGTCCTTTTACTAGGAATAAAATGTCTTACTGCCGACACAACTTTGTTCCATTAGACGGAGATCTCTCGGGATTGCGACTTAAGTTAATTAAATTTAATTATGCTTTATTGCATGTGCAGTGATAAGAGCGTAACATCTTCGATGAGAAGAAAAAGAAAACGAAAGACAGAGAGAGAGAGAGAGAGAGAGAGAGAGAGAGAAACAGATGTTTTTTGCTCACTAATGGATATTTATGCTAAACTGATGCGTGATTATATGATTTATATATTAACATATCATGATGTTTTTACACTTTATATTAATAATATACTGTTTTTCCATAAAAAAAAGTTTGTCGTTTGATTCCTAAGTTCTACGAAACATTTCTGTTACTTGCGGTAACATGGAATTCCCGGAATTATCGCAATCGCTTTAATTTTAAATTCTTTGACTTAACTTTGGAACTTTGGTTTTTTTTTTATAAAAGTCAAGATGTCACAAACTTAGCTATAAATTACTCTTATTGATGATTATAAGATTATGATTATAAGATTATGATTATAATAGTTATAAATAAGAAAGTATTAAAGATAGAATGCAGTTTTTATATATAATAGTTAATATATACTAAAGCTGAATGAATAAAAAACTTATACTTAAAGATAATTTCAAATTGGAGCTTGGTCAAACCTTAGCTAATTATTGTAATATATTCTGATCGTATAATTAATCAAATATAAAAACCTGACGTTCAGAATAATTTCGCGATAATTATAGAATTGTAAACGGTTGTTGAATTCACTCTTCGGCAATGACATCATCGCTTTGGGACTGTTCGTCGCTACTGGACAATTTCTCTTTGCAATCTTCGATCAATTCCGCCGTTTCGTTGATCGACACCTTCAGCGGGCCGCGATCTGCCTTCCTCTTCAACGTCGAGGCCTCCGACTTGGCTGCCGATTTGTCGGAAGAATCGCCCGACGATTTCGATGACAATTGGCTTGAGATAAGAGTACCGGAAGAACTGGTTAACGATCCGGAATTCGGTCTGGAGTTGTTGGCGAAGCTCAGATACGAGTCCAAGCTACTTGACGTGGACCTTTTCGACTGCTTCTGTTTCTTCTTTTTCTTCTTCTTCTTCCGAGTTTGGGAATTCTTCGAAGGCGCCTTCTGTTGCGCCTTCACGAGTGATTGAAAACTCTGCAAAGTTCATGTACACAGCGCAGTTTACACAATACTTTCTTACAGCGTATCCTACAGAATTTCAAATAATTTATTCTTATCATTTACATAAGATCTATACTTGTATACAGAGAAGATAATTATAATTGATAAATATGTAATTTATTTCTCCTTGGGAAGTAAAATTAGCCAGTGTCTAATATGGGAAACAATTGTCTAATGATGACGCATGCAAATAGCAGGAAACTCATCACAATACCTGAGAATGACGTTCGAAGAGGGTCGGTATTTGCGTCACGCGGTCGAGCATCATCTCCATCTGCAGTCGATGACGTTCGGCCTGTTCCCGCGCCTCGTCGCGACGCAGAGACGTCCGTATGTCCAGATCTCTGTCGTGCTCGTGCCTTGTTTTCGCGACATTAGATCGATCAGATATTCGATCGTGAAAATCAACGAGCGTTTATAGATCTACAGATCCAGTGCGTACCTCGCGGCTGATCTCAGGGCCTTCCACGCGGGTTTCCGGCCGATCAGTGTCTCCCTGAACTTCAGCATCTGTTCCCGCCGCTTTTCCTCCATCCGCTCCCGTATCTCGTGCTCCAGTTTCTCTCTGCGATGAGTTTTCGATCGTCATTTACGCGTGTGAATTCCTCTCTAATTAAAGATTATAGAAATATCCTTTGTTGCATTGAATTAAAGTTAAATCCTATGCACAGAGTGACTTTTTATATCTCGACACAATCATTGCTTTCTTCAAACTGAATTTTTAGTATCTTGAAATCAACCTATAATAAATAAACAGATGAGAGATTCTGGGTCATCCAGTATCTTTCTCACTGAACGTTAGGCCGTACCGTGAAGCCTGACATCTCAGAATCGCAGCCAGGTTGTTCCCGCGCGAGGATAATATGGACGTCATCGCGGACCTTGTTCTCTCGGACGGCGTCGTCGCCGGGATGACGGACTCGTCGTCATCCTTGTTGGACGGCACATCCTGCAGATGCGTACACGCGGACTTGACGCGCTCGCGCCTCGCCATCGACGGCGGTAACGAAGAGGATTTCAACATCTCGGCGGCCCTCACCCTTTTCCTTAGCTGCCTGGAACCACGTGCGTCAATCCTTACGCTGAATCTAATTGTTTTTAATTCTCGCGACTTTGGAAAGTCTTCAAGTGATTAAGCCACCTAAATGCCTTCAGCAAGCCGGGCTCTAATAATTGAACTCATCTCTTTGAATTGCAAAGCAACTTTAATCGCTCACATATAAGAATTTATACACAGAAGCTTTAAAATTAAACTTAGGAATTAAATTCTCAAAATCTTTATCTGTTTTACAATTCAAAAACTGTCGATGTGTTTAATCGAGAGAAATTGGGAAATTTTTCAAACATCTGGTATAAACAAACAACAGAGCGATCCTGCCATTTTCATTGGCACCAAGAAAGGAGAGAGAAACAAATATAAAATGTTCACGTATACCCCATTAAATATCCCATTTAAATTTTTTCAAAATAAAATATGTAAAAAAAAACACGACAATTAATGGCAAGGCAAGGCTGACCTATAGTATTCGTCCTCGAGCATACGGTCGTAAACCTCGGTGCCGAACAGGTTTCTCGGCACCGGATTGGCCTTGAAACGCGAGGAACCGCTCTTGCTCGAGCAGAGCTCGGGACTGGACCTCGCCATGGATCGCCAGGCACGACGGTCGCACTCCAGTTTGAAAGGTCGCACCTGCGACAGCAGGTTCAGCGCGCTCTCCTCGCGCACGATGCGACTTCTAAAAGAAAAAGCAGAACCACGCATCACCTCGAGGTATCGATGACAATTTTGCGAACCTCTATAAATAGTTAAGTTATAATGGATTTATTAATCCCCTGAGAATTGAAATAAGAAAAATAAAGTAACATAAAAATATAATTAAACTTCCAGAATTAGAGATATTGAACTCGGAAAATTAAAAAATGGGTTTATGCATCTATCTATGAAGACGGACCTCTCTTCTTTCTCAGCCATCAATTTGTCGTAGAGCGGTATCTTGGATGTGATAGGAATCGATCTGACGCGTCGTTTCTTCGAAGGACTTTTTTTCTCGTTGTCCTCATTCACACGCTCGGCTGTCTCTATTTCCGTCATATATTTTTCCACCTCTTCCCTGAAACAGAGCATGTGAGACGTACTACATTAATACAAACCGGAAATAAATAAGATATCTAAAATAAAAAAAGATACATGCAATATATTATATAGTATAAAAGCAAAAAATGTTTCAATTCAAGGCATTTCATGAAGTTGAAAAAAAAACAAAATTTATTATTCTCAACGATAATCTAATTAAATAATTTTTCATCTTTATTAAGAAAATTGTTCCTTCCGCGATAAAAAATGCTGGCTAAATGCTCGCCAAGATTACATTAATAATGAAAATTAATACATTTTTATGCTAATACTCGAACAACACAAAAAGATGTATATGAAAGATGCATCCATTAAGCATGCAGCTATTTTTAAGCACAAGCTCTCGAACGTCTTTTAAGTATCTTTGCCGGATATTTACCTCAGCGTGAAACTAAACGGCTTAGGTACCGTGGGGTGCCATTCTTTCGAGCTATTCGGTGGTAAGCTCTTTGTCTCGATGCTGTCCTCCCCATCGCTGTTCACGCTGTCGTCGCTTTTCGATCCGCTCCACGTGCTCCAGCTCTTATTGGCCGCGAGTATCTCCTTGTTGCGTATTGTCTTCGCCTCCTTGTCCTTATCTCTGCATCTGGAACCAATATTGGCATTCATAGCAATGAGAGATGATAAAAGAGACAGATATAATTATATGTCATTTATTCAATGTATTTGTAAATCGAAATTCTTCCTTTATCAACTGCGCTCTCTTTCTCATTGCGTGACAATTATATATATCACCTGTACGTCAGCAGATCCTGATCCTCGGCGAGACCGGCAAAACTCCCAGATGGGAACAATATAGGGCTGCTAGTTCTAGATTCCTCGAGGAAGCACTTCTTGCCGTTCAGCTTGAGATCACCGACGTTTGGCTTGACCTCCTTCGACTTCGAGTCCTCATTTCTCGTGATTGACAAACGCGACGGCGGCTCCTCCTCGTCGTCCAGCGAGTTTCTCAGATTCTGCAGGAGCAGCCGCTGCTTCCTTCTGAGATACTCGACCTTTTGCTTGAACTGCTCGTTCGACAAATGGTTCACCTGTCCGTAGTCCGGTATGCTCTTTAGAAACTCCAGAAAGTTCTCGAGGGTGTCGCGCGGACTCGACGACTCCGAATTTTCGACAGCGATCGGTTCACCCTCGGCAAAGTTGATTTTCTTCACCTTCTCGGATCTTCGGCTCCCGGACGACAGCCGAGGACGTTCGTACGAGGGGGTTGGTTGCCGGCTGCAAGGATCCACCGGCACCTTCACGCACGAATGGAAGAAGGACGTGCCTCTGTGCTCCGTCATGGTTCACTGATTTACTACGAAATATAATGTAACAAATTAATAACGTGCGATAGAATATATTTTTAAATATTAATAAATTTACTATTATGAGATATGCGTATAATATTCGTTTATAAATAAAAAGATACATATCTTTTCTTAAATATAATGAATATTGCATAACTTCTAACATATCGGTCCTTTTGGCTATTTAATTGACCACAAATAATTATTAATTAAATTGGAAACTATTTAAAACATGTAATGAAGTTTAGATATTATCAAAGGCAGAACTCTATAACGTAATCAAATTACACAATAGAGTCGTACATACAACTGCTGACTGTGTATAATTACAGCATAAGATAATTACAGTATGTGCGACACGCAGGCATACAGAATGTCTAAAAACTATTGCTAAACCTAGAAATATAGCAAATGTTTAAACGTAAAATAAAAAAGAAAGTAGATTATACTGATTCTTCTAATTACTTAGTTAAATCGATTACAATCGAAACTTTGTCAAAAGTCCTAAAATTACAGAACATTCAAGCACGATTTATATATATTTATATGCTAAATTCTACGTACAAATTATTGTTTTCTATACATATGTTTTAGTCATTATAAAAATTCAGAAACATTTTTCCAAAGTGTCCATTTAGAAGATCAATGGACTCTTAGAAAATTCTGTCAAGTTACTTCGTAGGATTTCGCGTTATACTATAATCACCTTCATCCTCCAAGCGATCAGCCGAATGTGATTTCAGATAGATTTTGAGACACAGCGATTTGTGAGCAGATCCCAGTCTCGATTTTTATCACCGAGATGCGAACAATGTTCTGACAACTTCGACGGCCGTTACTGTACTTGCTAGGGGGGGATCAATGTGACCTGGCGTCGCCGACCTGGCGTCGCCGTCGTCATGGTGAAGCCGCGCCAGGAAGGTGCTAACGCCCTGCGACCAGTCCCGCGGAAATAAATGGCGCACAAAAGAACCCGCCGATCGATTCCAGAACCGTGGAACGTTTATTGCCGTACGTGCGTGAGAAGACATTTGCGAAATCAACGATTCTTCAATGAAATTTAAAGCTTAAATAATCTCTGTTAAGAGAAAAGCCTTAATTACTTATATATGCACGTTTATTCAGAAAAGATTTTAGGATTTATTTTTCTTTTTCCTAGGTTACCCAGTAAATGAAAATTAATGATTTGAAATGGAAAGAAATGAATGCATTTCGACATTTCCGAATTGGCGCTTCTGATTTTTCAAATCCGTTTGAATCCAAAAATAATATAATACGATTATAAATACATGCAACATGGTAAATAGCTCATTTCGTATTTCAATTTTTGTAAATCCAAAAATAATATATAATACAAAATATATGAATACATTCTGAATTCAACATAGTTTGCATTTCATATTTCAATTTATTTAAACCAGGTAAAAAAATTTGTATACAAGAACATATATATATATATATATATATATATATATATATATGTTTTTGTATACAAAATTTTTGTTTGATAAGACAAACTTTGTTGCAAATTTGTACTATTTCTGATGTTAAAACTTGTAGCAAATATTTGTCGTTATTTATCCGAACAGATTTGATTATCTGTATACTTGGCGGGAGCCGCTACCGCGTCTTCTGATAGAAATGTGTGTATAATATATTAATATTTTTCAAGTTTGCATGATAAATTATCTAGAATTATTTAGCGCAGCATAAAATTAGGATTTACCGAGGAGAATAAGTTAACAATAAATCGGTTTCTTGCTCGCGCATATTTTATATTTTTGAAAAAAAAACAAGCGCAATTTTCATTTCGTCCGTCACAATTAATCGATTCGCGCGCTGCTGCACCGTGCAGTCTGCATCAGCTGCACCGCCTGCACCCACCCAGTGCAAAATAGCAACTCAGGGAGACGATGTCGGTGTGCCGGTTCGTTCTCGCGTCGTTGTCGCGGAGTCGCGAGCGTGTCATTCCCGGTGCGACCGCGATCTCGAGGAAGAGCTACTCCACCACCGCGGAGAATGAGGAGACCTACGACGTCGTCGTCGCCGGAGGTGGCATGGTCGGCACAACTTTGGCGTGCGCTATAGGTTAACTTTTTATCAACACGTAGCAAATGTTCAAGAAAGAAAAGGCAACCAATGACAGAAGTCCGTCAGTTTGTTTAAAAATTTAAGAAAATTATTTAAGAAATCTTTAATTTGAACGAAATAAGCGAGAAAGAATTTAATTCGATATAAGGTCAAGTATCGAATAATTATCTGGTACGAATTAACCTTGTAAGCTTTTTTCTAATTAAAAGGATCTTTCACGGATTTTATTATTTCTTAAATTGCTATTAGCGATTAATAGAATCGCAATTATTTCAAAGTAAGGCAAAGAATTTGAAACATATTTCTCTCAAAATGAATCATCTGTTCTTCTTAGCTTCGTCATTACGCTTTCTATGTCTACGATATGTACATGTGACAAGCATATGTTTATTTATTTCAGCGAACAATCGGAGATTGGCGGGCAAGAAGATCTTACTTTTAGAGGGTAGTCCTAAACAGGAATACACACCCCAGGAGCAATATTCCAATCGAGTTGTCGCGTTGAATCAACAAACCCGTACCTTGTTGTCCAGCATAGGAGCATGGAAACACATAGAGGCAGTCCGCTGTTCTCCAGTACGAAGAATGCAGGTAATCCTTTACAATTTTCCACTTTAGAATTAATTATATTATTAAACTTACTAATGTCCATTGCCATCAATAAAGATTAACTTTAATCTTGATTTAATTTACTCTTCGTTTTTTTGTAATTCTTAGAACTGAAAAAAAAATGCAGAATTAATTAAATCAAAATTAGAGTTAATCTACATTGGTGGAAATAGGCACAGGCGTTGCATTAATAATTAATGTAAAGATAGTTTCTATTTGTAACAGTCTTGATAAATTACATAGCTAATAATAATTTATTATAGTTATAATGCTATAATTAAAATATAATCTTTAGGATTTTGTTACTTTATATATTCTTCCGTTTTACAAAATTAGAAATTCTATAAATTTCTAGAAATTTTATAAATTAGAAATTGTAATAATAATCTATGTATAACTTTTTACATAGGTATGGGAAGCGTGTTCCGATGCCATGATAACATTCAACGAGGACTTGTCGTGCAGAGAATTGGCCTATATAGTTGAGAACGATTTGCTGTTGCACGCGGTCAACAAGCAACTCTCCGAAAAGGAAAATGTTACTGTGATTTACGAGTCTAAAATCTGCGATGTGAAACTTCCGAAAACGTCCATGGAGTTCGTCACTGTACAGCTGCAATCTGGCGAGCAGTACAGGACCAGGTTACTGGTGAGAAATCAGTGAAACTGCTTTAGAAATTATATAATTTGCGAAGCGATTGCGTATGTATGTAGATTGTGATCATGTTAAAAAATTCGCGGTTTGTTACATTCGCATTTCTATTGTCATTGTTAGGCCTTGGCGATTTAAGTCTCTTTCGTCGTAAGTTCTCTTTTTCTTTTCTTGGCTTGTTAATTCTTGTAGTCTTTTTATCTATTCGTCTTTTCGTTTGAAACAATTCAAAATGCTCGATTTGACAATAGCTAGGCGATATTAATGTAAATGCACCGATACGTCCAAGTCCTTCGCGATACTCTCTATTTTATCGGTCAAGCTGTCCAGCTTCGTGCTGATGTTGTACGAGCATCTCTTCAGCTCGGCTGCCAGCTCGTTTAGCTGCTGCTGATTGCTGTCGTTGCTGTACATCCTGCTGAGCCTCGCGTAGTTCGAATCCTCCACGATGGTATGCGAATTTCGCGGCAACATCGATGCGCCGTCTCTGAACATTGCCCGTCGCGTTTTCCTCTCGCTGACCAGGCGATATATCGCTCGGATGAGCTCCCGCGGTAGACGTTTCTCGCGCGGATCGTTCGGCCGTATGTGCAGGGCGCAGTGATACGGCGGATGCAGCAGCAGCGCGCCCCTCCTGCACGCCCGTATTATCCTCCACGCCGGGGCGCGATCCAGCAGCTTGGAGAAGAGCATGTTCTCGAGATGCGCCACGAGCTCGGCCCGGCGCACCAGTCGATCGAGGCCGGCGCATCTGCGTAGCTCTTGGATGTCCGAAACGGCCAGACCGACCATCAGATTCGTCAGGATCACCGTCACTAGGATAACGAAAGCGAGAAGCATCAGATGGGCCGTGCCGGGATATTGGATCGGCGCGTTTTCGTCGAAGAATACATCCTCAAACTCGAGCTCGCCCGACATCATGACCACCGTCTTGAGCAGACTGATCAGTGGATCGCCGAAGGACTTGTAGTTCTTGTGCAGCACGCCGAAGCCGAGGGAGAAGCCGACTATGAGGCAGACGTAGGCCGCGAGAAACTTGAAGAAATTGATGGACACTTGCGTGAACATCTGCACGTAGATGCCGAACATGGGAAAGCGGCCGACCACCATCATTAACTCGATCCAGACCAGCAGAACGCCCAGGGCGGCGACGTGATGCTGCCAAGTCTGCGCCAACGGGATCAGGATGATGGCGGTCGCCATGATCACGCTCCACTGCAGCCAATTCTCCCAGCGTTTGGCATAGGGGCAGATACCGTGGGCGACCTGGAAGATTTCCTTGCCCGCGAGCACGCAAGTGAAGCCCAACACCGGCCAGAGGAGGACGTTGGTGATCTGTTTCACCTGCCAGAGATACGTCGCCGCGACGTAACCGGTGAAGAGGGCGACGAAGATCGAGTGAAACAGCAAGCTGAGCAGGAAGAACTTGCGGATACGCAGCCACTTGAGGTAGAGGAAGCTCTCGCACAACGGATGCTTCAGCACGTGGCCCTGACCGACCTCCACCAGGCAGAGCATCAGCTCCGTCTCGCCGCGGCCGCCCGGCACCAACGGCCGAAAGTCCAGCCGCAGCTCGCAGTCCACGTCGCCCAGCTCGTGATCGTGCAGCGAGATCGCTTGATCGAAGCGCGCCACGAAGCGCGCCAACACATCCGGGGTGCGGCGTATGATGAAACTGAGGGCGGTGACGCCGCCGTTGGTGCGCGCCGTCACGTCGGCGCCCTTCGACACCAGCATCATCACCGTGGGCGAGTTCTCGTTCAGGGCCGCGATGTGCAGCGGCGTGTAGCCGAAATTGTCCGCCTTGTTGACCGAGGCGCCCGCCTTTTGAATTTGAAGAAAAAAATTTTAATTTAGTGTCTATATCTATATATTGCTAGGAAAATCTTCCTTAATCGAACCTGTATTAAAGTCTTGACCAGTTCACCGCTCCTCAAGGCTTTCGCAACTGCAGCATGTAGAGGAGTTCGCCCATCGTCGTCCTCCTCGTTGACTTTCGCACCGGCTTTTATTAATGCGTCTAACGTTTCTGCGGATTGAGCGAGCGCTGCCAGGTGCATCGCCGTCTGACCGCGCGAGTTCTTCGATTCCCAGGCCGCACCGGCATTCAGCAGCAACCTGGTGCACTCCACGCTCCCCTCTTCGGCTGCCAGGTGCAGAGGTGTCGACCTCGCGGTTCCCAGTTGCACCCTGACGTCCGCCCCATAATTCAGTAGCAGTTTGGTGCAACACACGTTGCCCAGACTAGCCGCCACGTGTAGAGGTGTCTCTGTATAAACCTGCAGTCAAATCATATTAATTCACTCGAAGGAATCTTCACTCGAAGAGACGCGTTACTTTAGTGGGAAAGTGATATCCGATCTGCAAACTCGATATTTCTCATCAATGTTGAAGATCTTATAATCTGTCACTTTTGCATATTTAAAATTATTTAAAATTACACTTCAAATTTCAAAGATTTCTGTTTAGACATCACTTCTCCACTATGTTCATGCTTGAGTTAGTTGAGGTGGTAAACGAGCACCTGTGGATTATTGGGACAAGCACCTGCTTGCAGTAGAGCCTCGACGCAATCCCCGGCGTTGTTCAGCACGGCGTAGTGGAGCGGGCTCTTGCCGGACAATCCGGCGTCCACATTCGCGCCCGATTTGATCAGGCATCTGACGGTGACGACGCAACCCGCCGCCGCGGCGCAGTGCAACGGGATGCATTTCTTTGTGAGGTCCCATGCGTGCGGATTGGCACCGTGCTTCAGTAACTCCTCCACAACTTTCACGGATGCGGTGCAAGCTGCCAGATGTAGCGGCGTTCTAGAACATAAAAGTGTCATTTTTCGAGAATTAATTGAAGTTGCAGACTTGATTGATCTAATTCTAAATTCCAATTATGATGTTTTGTAATTTACTATGATAGAATCAGGTCACTTTTGAGATATTTAATTATGAACTAATTCTAAATTATACCTTCCGTCGCAGTCACTCGCGGAAACTGGCGCGCCTTTGTCTAGTAAAGCCCTCGCGATCTCCACGTGACCCAACCAGCTAGAAATCAGTAGACACGTGTCTGGCCATCCTGCGAGTAGCTGACCCGGCGTCGCGGCGGCCGCTGCCCCGTTTTCGCTGTCTAATATAGCCTTTTGTCTAAACCTACACGGATAAGTTCTTATTTCTCACTTTTTTTTATCTCGATGTAAGACTAAATTGCGGATGTGCAACTACATCGTTATTGTCATTACCCGTTTGCGAACTTAGGCAACGAGATTTTGCGATGTCTGCAGTCCGCAGTCTCGTTGAGAGTCAAGCCGGAGAATTCCTCCAGAGCCTGCTGCAGAGCGTCGTCTCGAAGAGCAGGGATCAGGGAAAGGGCGACCTCGCCCCCTGGAAGATTCGACAGCGCTTTCTCGACTTGCTCCTTGCTCCACGGTTGCTCCTGCGTCATCGGCGTCGTCGGTATGGAGCAGATGACGGAATTCGAGCTGTCCTCGGAGGAGATGCAGCCATCGTCAATCTCGGTCATCCAAATGTCCTCGCGCTCCTCCTAAATTCGGCATACACGAGCAATGAAGAAAGAAGATCTCGGAAGAGATCGCCGTTTAATCGACGAGCACCGTGTCTTTCACTGACCTTATTGCCGCACGCTGCAAAGGAGCACGACGGCGTTCCGTTGGGTGCAGCTTCTATCCTCGGCGCGTCTCGCGTCAGACGACCGGAGAGTCTTTCGAAAAAGTTCCTCTTGCCGAGAAGCGACATAATTATGTCCTCCTTTTGGACTCTTTTTAAAGAGAAATTATCTAAGCCATACGAATGGATACTATAAATAGATATATTGTCGGCGCGTAATCGCGTGGCGCGACTACATGTAAAGGGTGAAAAGTTTTCTTCTTTCGATTAACACGATGCCATTTTTGCGACTACGCACTGATAACAGTGCACACTTCCACGCATACAATGACACGTTTATGGGCAGAATGCGATGATGAATTTCTCAGTCAAATGTTAACATTATTAAGACGACTAACTGCGGATAGCGGTAAACATCTCGTTAGAGGTCTCGGTCTCGTTTGACAGGCAATCTTGACGTTTTATTGAGAATAGATGACTTTCCGATGCACGTCCATCGGCTGCTCTTACACGCTAATACTGAACACTTAGTCGACTATTCCGGCTCTCTGTATATCTCAGGATACCCACATGTGTTTATAAAACAGTGTTATATATTTAGCTTCCGTTAATCTCTCGCGGTTCTCTCTCGCGCCTCGCGTAAATCCAGCATGTTTCAAAGAAGGAAAGGAAGAAAAATTTCCCGACCACAGACTCCTTCCCCACCCGGAAATGATTATACTATCAGACTAGCTTATGTGTATATAATACGCCACGCGTGAACACTTCTAGCGGAATTCAATAGGTGTGTCATTATACCGTGTGAAAACAACTTGATGCGTAAATATCAAGATGACGTGTACGAATATTATTTGAAAAAAAAAAAAAAAACTTGGTACGTACGTATTAAAATGACGTGCGTATCAAGTTTTTTTTTCAAATGATATTCGGTTGACAACCTAGTTTTTCCTGCTACAATTAATTTTTTATTGAAAGACTCGAGAGAGCATATTTTAACACTTCATTTATTAAAATTCAATACAGATGACTATTACGGACGATTTGCAAGAAAAATTTAGAAATAGAACATTGAAGGAAACAAATTTACGTCAATTTTAGTAGTAAAAACAGTTGTTACTGCAATTCGTTTTAAATAAAAAAAAACTGCAAAGTTTTATATAAGCACGCTTTCTCCTAAAATATATTTGATTTTTTATATCAAAATGCAAACAGCACTTTTTGCGAATATCCAATATCAGATTGTGTACAAACGATTTGTGTATAAACGATGCAGCGTTTACGATGGGAAACAAGTATGAGACGTTAACCATTCGACCATCTCCGCTGAAATCTGGAACAGGACTTCGACGTTATTTTCGTACACGCGTGTAAATCTTCGACGCGCTCCTCTGTCGCAACGCGCGCATTATCCGTAACATCTTCGTGCTAATCCCAATAAGCCCCCCTTGTAACAACGCTTATAATTTCAACTTTTAAGACCGGTGGTTACCGTCAGGCACAACGAGCCAGAATAAATAAAGCGTCTTGATGCGTTACAGGTGGGCGCCGATGGCGTTAACTCGCTGGTGAGGAGGGCGATGGGCGTGATTTATCTCAATTGGCAGTACAATCAATTGGGCATCGTCGCGACTCTCAAGCTGTCCGAGGTAATATTTTCACTCGATTTTAAGAAAATACTTTAATAATGCTAGCTGCTAAGTTGTAACACTTATCGTTAAAATCGATTTCAGCCCACGGAGAACGTCGTCGCTTGGCAAAGATTCCTCCCAACAGGACCCATCGCATTGCTTCCGGTAACTTGTCAGTTTTCGTATCTCTATTAATTCGTCTCTTCGCGCGAATAACATCAACAAAGTTTAAAGAGCGCCTGGAAAATATCATGAGGATACAAATCGATGAAATGAAATAATGAAGAACAATTATTATTCTGTTATCTTCGACATTTTTCAAGAATAATTAATATGATTTTAAAAAACAAACGTCCAATGTTTGATGCATCAAATTGAATATTTTATTTGAATCAAATTTAATTTAATCGAACGAGATTTGGGGAGAGGAAAAGGGGATTAATGCATTGATTCAACACGATAATAATTCTATGATTCTGCAATAGTTGACAGATTCTCTCAGTTCGCTCGTGTGGTCCGTGACGAGCGAGAAGGCGAAGGAACTGATGAAAGTCTCGGACGAGGAGTTCGTCGACAGGATAAACGAGGCGCTGTGGCGGGCCTATCCGAAGAGCAGCATCGTCGAGAGCGGGATGCACGGATTCCACTGGCTGCTCACGAGACTCGCCCTGAAGACCCACGCATCCAGGCAAATGCCGCCCTCCGTGGCGGGAATCGTCGAGGGATCGCGGGCAGCGTTTCCCCTGGGTTTCGGCCACGCCTCGTCTTACGTTCAGCCGGGCACGGTGTTGGTTGGGTAAGACAATTTCTGATCTTCAAAGGGTCACATCGGCGATTGTGTGTTGCGGGAAACCTGAGCCGAAATGGATCTCAAGTGACCCAAAAGTGACCAAAATTTCAATGATGATCATGATAAGAAAAATTTTATACGATCGTCAGTCTTCAATTCGAAATTTTATTACAAATAATTTATCATATATCGTGTAACAAGTTCTTTTTTTTTAATTTTATATTCTCCGCGTGTTTTTAAAGGGACGCTGCGCATCGAGTCCATCCTTTGGCAGGCCAAGGCGTGAATTTGGGTTTCGGCGACGTGACGGAATTGACGCAGACCCTCGCCGAGGCTGCTGTGAACGGTAGTCATCTCAATGATATGCACTGTTTGCGGACGTACGAGACGCTGAGGCAACGTCACAACGTACCGATGATGCTCGCCATCGATGGACTTCATCGGTTCTATCAATACACCGCGGCGCCCATTGTTCTTGGTAGAAGCCTGGGCTTGCAACTGGTAGACGCTATCCCGCCAATTAAGGTAAGAATATCGCACTGACGTGTGTTTTTTTTTCTTCAAGGAAAGAAATATTATCTCTCATTATCGTTCTCGATATTAATCGAAGCAATTTTTTTTAGAGATTGTTAATGCAACAGGCTGCAGGAAATAAAATGTTTTAAAAGTGCTGGTTAATAATGAGATAAGAATGTAAATATAATATGAATATGATTTTACATTGATTAAGAATATTTGGAGGACGATTAATTTACTTCCTGTATTAAAAAATATATATATGTATATAACTAATATGTATTATAAATTGAAATATCATGAAGGTGTGGATAATTATAGATATTAAAGTTTATACATATAATTATTTATGTATATTATTATTTTATTATTTTTCATTGTATTTACATTAAAATTACATACAAAATCGCATTTTGTAATGTTTTCTTTAATAAAACTTGTAATAAAAACATAACAAAACTTTTTCAAATATATTGATATTAGGTATCTGTTTAGATAAAATATTTCAATAAATTAAAATCATTATGAATAAATATTTTACAAAATATTTATACAAGATATATTTTGTCATACAAGATATGTGCATTGGTTTCAATTGCTCAATTCTAACGCAAAATGTCGAAAAAAAAAAAAAACGGCGCAAGAAGAATTTTATAATTTTATTTAAGAAAAAGAATATTAACTTTTGCGAAAGTTTCTCGTTTATAGAATAATTTGGATATGATTTCCCATATGGTAATTTCTACGAGAAAGTTTGTATGATTTATTCATATGCAATCGCTCCGGAAAAATCTATCTCGTTATAGGTTATCTACGATTACGTTGCAGTTATGAGTTATCTAACCATATCTAACTTCCTTCGACACCGTAAATACCGTAAGTACACGTGTACATCTCACATATAGTTAAATTGAAGACCGACAGACTTGAGCTGACTATTTAGTGAATCGTTTGTGAAAGTATCGTACGTTCGGGACACCAGTGCACACAAAGTTGACGTAGAATCGTTAATGAGACTCGCCTCCAGGAGATATGTAGGCTACGAATGAGGTTAGCTTGACCCAAAGTTCTCATTCCTCGCCTGGATTCGATGCTACGGGACGTCGTCCTCGTGAATTTATGAGGACTTTTAATCACCTTACTCTCCAGTAGGTTAGTGTGTTTTATGAAATTTTATAATTACGTTTTGCTAAAGTTGCGTAAAATCTCAAGAGAGAATATGTTGATATTTGCTTTCTTTTCGATTCAAAGGAACTGTCAACCGAATGGTGACGATGTTTACATCCAGAAGGCTGCTCAAAGCAGCCGCTATCGGAACCATCGGCCTGGGCACCCTGGCGTCCCTCAGGGCGAACGAGTACGACATCGCCGCGATCGGCATCGTACGGCTGAGCCGTGCCGCGGTCACGGTGTTCAAGATAGGCCGTCACTACAACCGGGAGTTGTACAACAGCAAGCTGGACAGAACGTCGGCGGAGTACATGCAGCTGAAGTCGGACGTTCATCTGTACGGGGCGCAGAAGCTGCTGGAGCTCTGCTGCGCCAACAAGGGAGTGTACATCAAGGTGGGCCAGCACGTGGGCGCGCTGGACTACCTGCTGCCGCCGGAGTACGTGCGCACCATGCGCGTGCTGCACAGCTCGGCGCCTCAGTCCTCGTTCAAGGACGTGCTCACCGTGATCAGGGAGGACTTCAAGAGGGATCCGTACGAGATATTTCGGAGCATCGACCTGGAGCCCGTGGGCACCGCCAGCCTCGCGCAGGTGCACCGGGCCGTGCTGAGGAACGGCGACGTGGTGGCGGTGAAGGTGCAGCATCGCGCCGTCAAGAGTAACTCGTACGTGGACATCAAGACCATGTCGGCCCTGGTGAGCATCACGTCGCTGGTATTCCCGGACTTCAAGTTCGACTGGCTGGTCAAGGAGACGAAGAGGAACATCCCGCTGGAGTTGGACTTCAGCCTCGAGGGCAGGAACGCCGAGAAGGTGCAGAGGCTCTTCAGCGGCTACCGCTGGCTGAGAGTGCCGAGGATTTACTGGGACGTGTCGTCGTCCCGCGTGCTCACGATGGAGTTCCTGGAGGGCGGACAGGTGAACGATCTGGATTACATGCGCGCCCACCGGCTGAACCCGTACGAGGTCACCAGCAAGCTCGGTCGTCTGTACAGCCACATGATCTTCATCGAGGGTTTCGTCCACTCGGATCCGCATCCCGGTAACATCCTCGTGCGCAATCGCGACTCCCAGGCGGAGATCGTGCTGCTGGACCACGGCCTCTACGCCGATCTGTCCGATCAGTTCCGCTGGGACTACTCGAAGCTGTGGCTGGCCATCCTCGACGGCGACCGGGCGGCCATGAAGGAGTACTGCACGCGGCTCGGCGTCGCCGATTACTACGGCCTGATGGCGTGCATGGTGTCGGGCAGGACGTGGGAGACGATCATGTCGGGCGTGCGTAAGACTCGCTACGACGCCCGCGAGAAGGAGATGTTCCAACAGAACGTCCCGAACCTGCTGCCGGAGATCTGCAAAGTGCTGGACCGCGTCAATCGGCAGATGCTGCTGATCCTCAAGACCAACGACCTGATGCGCGGCATCGAGCACTCGCTGCACACCCAGTCCAGGATGTCGGCCATGATAGAGATGTCCAAGTGCTGCGTGCGTTCCGTATACGGTGAGAGGCTCAAGCGATGCTCGGGCGCGTGGGACAAGTGCTGGGTGTCGCTGGCCGAGCGCTGGGCGCTTCTCAAACTGTCATTCTACTACGTGTACCTGGGCCTGATACACTTCGACTTGAACAGCTCGATCGAGTCTCTATGGACGAAGGATTTCTATCCGCTTTAACGAAAACTTTCGTGTAGACTAATGTTTTGTTTTCCGACTGAATATTCATTGCGCTCTTTGAAAAATCTTTTTTTTTTTTTAAGAGGAAATGTTTCTTTTTCAAAAGAGAAGCCCTACAAAGATTTCTACCTCTTTTTTTTACTGTTGATAAACGATTCGATAATCTGTACATAGTAACTTATTAAAAAATGTACATTTTATGCAGTCGCTCTCTTTATATAACATCGGCCTACTTCTTAATTAGTCGTCGTCATTGGAGGAAGATTTAAATTATATAAATTCAATTTGTGCTGTGGTTTCTTTTATAATGAATGTACCTTCGTCGAAAGAACCTCTTTTTTATTATATACATAACATATATATATGATAATTACAAATATTTAAATATTCTAGTTACAAATTAGTTTGTTCTGAGTACTTTGCTTTCTTTGGCTAACCGAAGCTCCTCGCGATACTCCGCGATTACCGCTTCCCTGTCCTTCAGGAACTGCGCGTACTCTTCTGGGTCGATCTCGCGCACGATCTCGATGCCGCATGTGCGAGCGATGCCGACCATCATTTGACACATTTGTTGTAGACTCAGCAGCGCGTTGCACGGATCTTCCATCTTGATCTTGGCGATCTCGTACAAGTGTTTCAGAGTTATCTTGCCAGCTAATTCGCCTGCGAAAAAGAATACTCGTGAATTCATTTTTGCTCGTATCTCATTTTATTCATGTCTTTTCGCGTGATGTTTAATGATAAATTATCTTTGCGCTTTCTCTGAATATCTTGTGCTACTCTTTCTTGGAATACCAAGGGATTACTAATGGTTCACGTTATGGGAGTAGCACAAAGAATCGAGGATCAAGAATCCACGTATAGGGTAACTGTCCCTATTAGTGTACCTGTACGTTTTAATGTGCTTTTATATTTAAATAAGCCATAGAAATAAATTGGTACTAATAAATAGAGTGTTTTTTTTTATTAAGTTAAAGTATTAACTTAATAAAAAAAACACTGTCTATTCATTTGTGCCAGTTTATTTTTATGACTTATTTAAATATAAAAGCACACTAATAGGGACCCTAATTAACAGTTACCCTATTTAAACTGAGAGGAAAGTTTTGTACGCGTACCTTTCTTTATTCTCCCTTTCTGTATTCCAGCCGCCTGTTTCAGGTAGTACACCGTCGACGGCTTATGGATCACCAGATCGTACGTTCTGTCCGAATGCACTTTCACGCGACACGGCAGAGGAATGCCCTCCTTGAGGTTGGCTGTCCTCTTGTTGAAGTCCTTGCAGAAGTTCTCGATGTTGATGTTCCTCTGGAATCGGAAATCGTCTGCGTTAAGACAACGTCTGTCGAAGACCGGATCTTGCAAAGCCAGCAGCAAATGATTAAATGTCCGAGAATTACGGGAAAAAGATTAAAATTGGAATTCGGGAGGGTGATAAATCCCGCGGAGAAATTAAATGCATTCCATTGATATTCGACGGTGTTGGTAGGTAATTAATACACAGCGGTATTCGCGTCGATCCTAACCTGTCCGAGCTGGGATCCGAGCGGCGGCGCGGACGACGCCATCCCCGCGGGGATGTCCACGTGCAGTTTCGACGAGTGATCGACCTTCTCGAGCACCTTCTTGGCCATTTTCATCCTTCCTATCGTTTTCGACATCTTCCAGTTTTAGTGTAATGTTATTGCTGAAATAAATACATGCATTAAGTATAAGGTAAACGTATGTACCGGTGGCTGAACATGTACACAAAATTTATTAATCTCAAATACTTTTTTTATTATATCAAAATTTAATTGTAAAAATATTTAAAGATTACAATTAAATTATAATGTTATGAAAAAAATCATTTAAAAACAAATTTTTGTGTACTTGTTCAGCTATATAGATACACGTTCAGCCACTGCGACTGCTACGTTTACAACGCATTGTTTTCGATCGCTTCGATTTTCCGAATCTTATTGCCTATATAATAAAAAAAAATAGAGATAGAGATCGGAGTGCGCATTGCCATTACCTTCGGTGGTCAAAAATAAATATATCCGAGATCGACGAGCGCTCAACTTTCAAGACGCGTGCAGGAGAAAAAAAAAGGTATCGAACACATGCTCCGAGGAGACCCGCCGAACCTAACCTAAACCCAACCCAGCCGCTCAGCTGAGAGAACAAACATGGCGGACGGAGTCTCGGCACGACGCGGCAAACGTTCGTCTTTACGAGACACGCGAAGATAGCATCGCTCCGTTCGACGACGAAGATCCGATCCACTGGTTCCGAGAGCGACGCTACAGCTGCTGCCGGGAGGGTAGTTCGGCGTCACTTGTGGGGGGGAGGGGGGGAGGGGAAAATTATCGTTTCGCGAATTGAATAATTTCGCAGCGGGATTATGGCCGGCTGTTGCGTCCCCGGCTGCACCAACTCGACCACCAAGGGATACTCGATGAGGAGCTTCCCCGTAAATCGCGAGCGGAGAGAACAGTGGATCGCCAGTATTGGCGTGGGGAAGTGGGAGCCCACCGTGAACAATCGCGTGTGCGAGGTATGGATTTCACTTAGGATCTTTGTTGTCATTTGTGTAGAAACGATACTAGAATAGAAATTTATTATTCACTTCGGCTTTACATAAATTTGCCAAGAAGGGGACTTTGTTTGCATAAATATTCTCCTCACTCATCCTTCTATATCTTTTTTCTATATTCTTCTGTCTCTCTTACTGTTTACATTCTATACATTTGCACATTTCCACCTCTTTCCATCTTACATTCTTTATATTACTTTGCTTCCTACCTCTTATACATTTTACATTTCATCATATTTACATTTGTCATAACTCTACTTCCCTACTCTTCTGTCTCTCTTACTGTTTACATTCTATACATTTGCACATTTCTACCTCTTTCCATTTTACATTCTCTACATTACTTCTGCTTCCTACCTCTTATACATTTTACATTTCATCATATTTACATTTATCGTGTAGAACGACACTAACAAATGATTAGTAGACTTATTCTATTTGTTTTTAAACAGGCGCATTTCACCGGGGACATGTGGGAGAAGGACCGTTGCGACGGCAAGCGCAAACTGAAGAGTACCGCCGTACCCACGATTTTCCCGTCCAATTCTGCGCCGTGCGGCTCTCCCGCTGCGTCGAAAAGCTGCAGCAATAAGAACACCAACGTCGTGAACATGATCATCGCGAGTCTGACGGACGAGGGGAAAGTTGAAATAGATTATCAGTATCAATTACATTCCGGCGATATTAAGCTAGCAGAGAATGGAAAATCGGAGAGGCATCCCGCAGGCACGTTTACATCTGCGAACGTGAGAGAGAAGACGTCTTCCAGTCAGGCCTCCGTCCCCGCGCGAGGAGCAGTACGGCCGCAGGAAGAGGAGACGGACTGGAAGGGGCGATGCGAGCAATTGACGCAGCTGTTGTTGAAGCGCGAGAGTGAGTGCTTGAAGCTTCGAGACAATTTGAGAAAGCGCGAGGAGTTGTTCAACAAGATAATACGGAAGAGTTACAAATGCGGGAACAATCTGAAGAAACGCATGCGAAAGCTGAGGGAGCAAAATCAGATTTACGACAAGTTGAAGACTCGATTGGGAGAGATCTTCAACGAGGATCAAATTAAGGCTCTGGCCAATCAGGGATTGAGCTGCCGCGAGTGGTCCGACGAGACGATTAAGCGTGCCATTCGGTTGAGGCTTGCGTGCGGCAGCGTCGGTTATCAGCAGATTCTAGATCAAAATATTCCCTTGCCCTCCGAACGGACGCTCCGAAGAAAAATGAGCAATGTTGAAGCCGACGAAAACGTGTAAACCGGAATTTCGAGGCACTCGAGCATCTGGACATATCGGCATATAGTATTTTTATCTCCGTTATATTGTAATAAGTACCTTATTGTGATACATAATATTATTTTAAAGACACGGCATTGATTGACCTTTAAAAGAAAAAAATTACGATGCACAATTTATTATTATTTTTTACCTTTATTAATTTCGATAGAATTCAAAAAATTACGATAATTTATTATTATTTTTTACCTTTGTTAGACCTTCGATAAAATTCGTTGTGAAATTTGTATCTGTATTAAAAATGTAATGTTTTAAGATATTTAAGCGAATTATCTTTTACCTTTGTTAGTTTTGATAAAATTTGTTGTGAAATTTGTATCTGTATTAAAAATGTAATGTTTTAAATATTTAAGCGATTTAGGAAGATAATTTTTTCAGAGCGAATATTCTCTCTTATAATATACCTATTCTTTTAAAATCAATTATAGCGACTTTTTTGTATCTTCGAGTGGTCGGTTCCGCCATGTTTGTTTCAATTTGGAACTGACCAATCGGCAGAGAGAGAGTCTCGATGCGAGAGTCAGTGAGAGACTTACATTTCTATATATGCTAACTGTTCGATGGACGAACCTAGGCAACAAGTATCCGGGTGTATCCGGGATTCGAGTTCTGTAAAGTAAATTTCTTTCGGTTTTTCATCAATTTGCTTCGTATTGCTGCGACCTTTTCTTACATAAGACAGTTCCGTGAAGCTACCTCAAAATGGGGAAACGCCAACATCAGAAGGATAAGATGTGAGTTGCGTTGTTGTCCTTCACATAACCGCTTTATTGCTCCTGATATACAATGCTCGCATTGCTCGCACTCTTGCTTTTCAATCACATTGACATACCCGTGAATTCCCTCAGGTACTTAACGTACACGGAGTGGTCGACGTTGTACGGCGGCAGGAAATCGGGAACGAATCTGGAGACGAGCGAGGAGAAGACGTTCAGGCGGCTGCCCTACGACCACTGCTGCTTGTCACTCCAGCCGTTCGAGCACCCGTATTGCGACCCGCACGGCAACGTGTACGAGCTGGAGGCTATTTTGCAGTACATAAAGCAGTACAAGCACAATCCCGTTACGGGGAAACCGCTGGACGCCAAGAGTCTGGTCAAACTGAATTTTTACAAGAATTCGCAGGATGAATACCAGTGTCCCGTTCTTTTCAAATTGTTCACAAAACATTCGCATATTGTCGCCATTAAAACCACAGGAAATGTATTCTCCAACGAGGTGTGCCAAATATAATATTTCTATTTTTTTTATTTATCTTTAAAGGTTGTTTTATATATATATATATTTTTTTTAATCTAATATATTTGTATATATAAAAGAATTATTTTTTCAGGCTGTTGAACAGTTGAACATAAAAACTGGGAATTGGAAAGATTTGTTAAACGATCAGTCGTTCACGCGTAAGGACATTATCACAATTCAGGATCCAAATAACGCGATGAAATTCAATCTGTCTTCATTCCATCATATTAAAAATAACATTAGAGTGGAGGACGAAGGTAAGCTCTACAGTTCAATAGAAATTGCTTCTAGGAACTGAGTTAATGTATTCTATTGTTGTAAGTTACACGTATGAACGATATTTTTTAGAAACCGTGAGAGAGAGGAACAATCCAAACGCAAAATTGAAAACCGTATCAGCAGAGACCAAGGAGATCCTGGCAGAATTGGAGAGGGACTACAAGCCGGCGAAGAGCGAGAAGGATGAGAAGGCATCTTCGCAGAGGGCTGACAAATTTAACGCTGTTGGTATCGTTTGCACAAGAGAAACTTGTCGCGAATATTGAAGAAGGTAACTTTATTATTTATTTGTACGCGCGTGTGTGTAGGCGCACTATTCCACCGGTGCGGTCGCTGCAGGATTCACTTCGACGATAATGCCGGCGGAGACTACCCATCAGGCGGCTGTAATCGCGGAAGATTTGGTACGGTACGAGAGGGTCAAGAAGAAAGGTGCGTATTGTCACAATTGTGCGTCGATCGTCACTCAAAGTCGCGATCGAAAAAATTCTTATTTATTTTGACGTTTATCTTTTTTTTCGCTCAGGATATGTAAGATTTCTCACGAACTTCGGGGCCTTGAATCTGGAGCTTTGTTGCGACCTGGTCCCGAAGACCTGCGAGAACTTCATGAAACACTGCCAGAACGGTTACTACGACGGCACGAAGTTCCATAGGTCGATACGAAATTTTATGGCAAGTATACATTGAGCGCGACGGTGAGCCTTTCTAACTCGAGTGCATTTCGAAAATTGTACTTCGCGTGTTATTTTTTACTTTTCTTTGTTTTAATTTCTTTATTTCGTTTTTTCCCCCATAGATCCAGGGCGGTGATCCGACTAATACGGGCAACGGCGGCAAGTCCATCTGGGGCAAACCGTTCGAGGACGAGTTCAAGCCGAATCTGGTTCATCAAGGCAGGGGTATTCTGTCCATGGCAAACTCGGGTCCAAACACCAACGGATCCCAATTGTAAGTTTAAAGGAAAGAAAGAAAAAGCGACGAAATCACATTCCCCAGTTGCATCTTTTTATTATTATATTATTAAATCTAATAATAAAACGATGCAACTGCGGAATGCGAGTTCGTCGCTTTCTTTGCATTTTTTTTTATTATATTATAATAATATAATAATAAAAAGATGCAACTGCGGAATGCGACTTCGTCGCTATTTCTTTTTCTGCTTTAAACTTACAATTAGGTACCTGATTGTCGTTTCAGTTTCATCACGTTCCGATCGTGCAGACACCTCGATCGCAAGCACACAGTCTTCGGGAAGATCGTCGGGGGCCTGGACACGTTGAACGCGATGGAGAAGGTGGAGGTGGACAATAAAGATCGGCCCATAGAGGATATAGTCATACAGACTGTCCAGGTCTTTGTGGATCCCTTCCAGGAAGCCGACGATCAGCTCGCCGCGGAACGAGTTGCCGAGGCGGAACGACTGGCTCAGGAAGCGAGTCAGAACGTACCGGCGGACAAAACGGACAGAAACGACGCTCGGAAGGTCTACCGATCGGGCATTGGAAAATATGTAAAACTGGAGCAGGAGAAGTAAGACATCTCTGTTGCGCCTTCACGAATTGAGACCTGTTGAACCTCGTCTGTTTACGCGGCGTTTAATCTGATTTTCAGATCGGACAAAAGGGACGGAAACGCGGAGCCCGTGACAAAGAAGAAGAAGGTCTCGTCGCAGTCATATGGAGATTTCTCCTCCTTTACCTTCTAATGGATTATTCACTGGAATAATTAGAATATGAAATGTATATAGCGTGCACATAGTCTAGTATTATATTACATATACAACTTTTCTGGCAGTTTACCGTATGTAAAACCTATTCAAATTCTCGTTGAAGAGCCAAGACACGAAATCAGACCAACAGCAGACAGCTGTTGAAAGACAACGGTAAGAAATATCGATATATGTAAAATATGTAAATATACGATCCCTCGATTGTCAAAAATCCTTTAAAAAAAGCCTTAAAAAAAGATTGAAAATTACTAATAAGAGATTGAATAAAGAATATTTATTAAATTAGGGACACTCATTTCTCGTAAAAAAAAAATTACGAATCTATTTTAAGTTGAATTTCGCTTTAGATTCGCATTGAATTAAACGTTTCGTGCTGGATCGCTCATATTACTCGTCTAAAATCCGACACTTTTTTTTACATTTCTGGATGAAAATGTCTGTTCAGGTTCGCTCGGGGGCTCCGCGACGCCTTGGGCGGCACTGGTCCGGTCGAGGACCGGAGGCACCGGAGCCTCCATGTTTGACGTTCGCCGCGCGGGCGTGCGAGTCGGAGCGGAGCGAGTTGTGTCCAGCGCGCGACGGTGACGACGGCCGCGTTCTCTCGGGCGATCGGCACGACCTGTTCGGGCGGGCGGAGGCGCCACCGCAGACGGCCGCGGTATCTCGGAGCTTCGTGGGACGGGGATCCCCGTCCTCCCGGCTCGCATCATGGACGACTTGGGTGAGTAAAGCTCTCGGAAAATTTCGGCCAGAGTTAACCTCTCACAGACGCGCCTAGCCTCTCGCTTGTCGCAAGGACGACGCTGCGACGGGGATGCTGCTGCTGCTGCTGCTACGGCTCGTCGCGTCCGCGACGCGATCGCGTGGACACCCGCGTCGCCGAGTACCGGTGGAAACCGGATACTCCTTCGTCGAGCGACGCTCGAGACATGTTTTTATTCGGGCCTGTCAAAGGCGATCGCTGGAATCGAGGTTACGTTTTCTTCTTTTGCTTCTTTTTTTTTTTATCGAAGGTATCGGCACTTCGAGACGTATCCGTTTGCGTCCGCCGCGTACACAAGGACGTTGGAATACTTGTTAGTATTCGGGAGCGCATTCGGTACCGTTGCGCTGTCGTCAACAATGTTGACAGTTTGGGATGCATTCCGTTTAGGTTCGCCAGGTAGGAATGTTAATTGGAATTTTGTTGGGGTATCCTCTTCCTGTCCAAGTATTTATCAAAGGTATTATTTTTTTAGACATTTTCGAGATTAGAATATGTATACTGTTGTCCAGCAATCAATATCTCTATATTTTTTATAGCATTATTAACGAATCGTTAAGAAATGCAAGAAATTATTTTAAATTGTATTATATTTAGTATAATCAGAAATAATTATATTACAAATTATTTAAAATTAGATATATGTTATATATATCTAAGTATTTATCAAAGGTCAGTATAATTTTTTTGATGACGTATTTTCGAGACTAGAATACGTATACTGTTGTCCAGCAATCAATAGAAATGCAAGAAATTATTAAATTTAAATTGTTTTAATATAATCAAAAATAATTATATTATGAATTATTTAGAATAAAATTAGATATATATTATATGTATGTATCTAGTATTTATCAGAGGTCACTATTATTTTTTTGATACGTATTTTCGGGATTGGAATACGTATACTGTTGTCCAGCAATATATTTTAGATATTGTATTTATATATTTACACATAATTGTTTTAAATTACGTGTATTATACATATGTAAGCATAACGACATAAATCGGGGAGAAATTAATACTGTCCCCGAAATACTCTCGTGCATTTTCCCGCCAGTTTCTCCCGACTCCGATATTTGCTCCTTCCGTTTCCAATTTGCTAACATCATCGCGAGTCCGCGTATAGAGATCCGCGGATAAAGCATGCTGAATATTCTGCGAGAATGGGGAGGAAAGCCGCGTGAGGCTGGAGGGGCACGGTCGCGATCGCGACTATTATCTCGTACTCCTATATGGCCAGAAGGCCTTATTGCATCAGTGTTATGCCAACTGCACATTAGTTTGTCACGCACTCGTTATGGTGCCGCAGCTCGGTGCATTCGTGACGTGAGACGGGACATACTTTTCATTTTACACGCGCGGATCACGGGAGATGCGATCAGATATCAGGCGCTGAAAAGATAATCTCGAAAAGGATAGGAAGGATACGGAAGGAAATACTCTCTTTTGTGTGCGGTACAAAATTGATATTTGATTTACGTGTACAAGCGTTTAGAATTACACATATAAATTCGGGTGGGAAATATATATCTCTCTCTCGATAATGTGTGTTTTATGTTAAGTGCGAAAGAGCCGCATTGCGCATTCCGATGAGAACAGCTAAATGTGAATGGTATTTCTGCATCGTTTTGCATTTCTGGTCGCGATCAGTAACGTTATACTTGGCGATACGATCAAAGAAAAAAAAAATTCCTGGTAAACACTTTACGTACCTACGTTTAAACGCGTTGCAGTCTTAAATGTCGTCGATATGTGAGAATCTTATCGTTATTTCCCGTGAAAACGATCTGATCGTATCTATTGCAACGTTAGCCCAATATTGAGCTGTTCATCGTAAATGAAATTCCCTCAAATTAAATGTGCGCGACATAACGGAACGATTCTTTTTTACGAGAGATCAATGTCGCGTAATTCGCGGAGCGCGCTAATCTTTAGGGGTCGCGGCGGGATATTCACGTTGATAACACGGTAACCCGGATAACGATAGCAATGTCAACATATATGACGGCCCGATACGCCCTATCTGATCGCCGATATGTACTTTTATTGCTCCGGGAATAAAGCGACAGCGGGTTTGAATTTATAATTGATAAATCGATCCGCAAAACCGTCGGAAGCTGCGGAATATTATATATATGCACCAGAATATTATATGCGTCCCTTTCTCTCTTTCTCTTGCCTCTCGTGGCGTCGCGACGTCTCGTCTTTCTGTATACATCCACATTTGTCTTCCCGCCGCTATCTAATTTCCCTCTCTCTTTCTCCTATTCTATTTATTTACCCTATACCCTTTCTTGGCCGTCCCTCTTTCTTCGCTTTCTCTATTCTGTTCCACCTACCTTTTCCGCGGCGATTTTCCCCTCCCTCTCCGCCGCCCCCGTCTATCTCGCGACGTCTCTCCCTTTCGACGAAAGCGGAGACCGCGGCGGAGAACGAAAAGAGGCCGAAAGAGAGCTCTCTCTGTGTGACACTGGGCGCGGGTGAGCGCCGGAAATATCACCGCGCGTGGCATCTCGTCTTGCTCTTGTTCGCCGGCGTTCACCAAGCCGGGCACCGTCAACCAAAGAGTCGCGCGTCGCGTTGCTCGTGCACAGTCGCGACAAATTTCCCGTCGTCTCGACCAACACGCCCGCCTCGTGTCGGCCCCATTTACTCGGTGATTCGCGTTTTCCGCATGGGAAATCGCGGGGAATCGCTCGCCCATCTCTCAGCCGATAATTCATCACGGAGATGTTCCGGTGCAGCGAATTCCGCTCACGCGGAATCGCACGAGCGTGATAATAGCGAACGTAAACGCGCGTTGCACAACCGGACGTTCCCTTCGATGTGGCTGCCTGTCCGCGAAAACGATTTCTCCCTTCGGTTCTTCTGATCTCGAATATCATTAAATCACGTTGTTTCTCAGAAGATGCATTTTCCGACAGTAAGCTCTTGAAAGGGGAAAGCCATATAGTTATCTCTCAACCGTGCATGGTGAAGTGTAAAAGGTTTAAAGTCGCATCTTCCACGAAATCTGCACATGGTAAAAGTTATCGAGTAAATCGCTGCTGCTGACGTGTATTATCTATTGATTCACACGACGAGAGCTTCGCGCGAGGTGGCCCGAGTGAAATTTACGCGGTGTTAAAATTAGCCTTGTGGTCCACTTGAACCTCCACTAACACAGTTAAGGGTTACAATCTCTTCCGTTGAAACCGTCGTGTAAATCATTTCGCTCAACACAGTGCTTCGCGCGGGACGCTTTATTTCTTCCGTACTGTCTTACTTCTAAATTCAGAGTTCGTTGCCCCTCGTAGTCGCAAAGATACCGATAGGAAAACATATAGACATTTGTTCTCGCGAAATATCATCCGCGCGATCGATTTGATCTGCTGAGAGATCTCGAAGGAAGATATGCAGAAGATATATACTTGAAATATTCATTGTTACAGATTTAAAAAATTTTCTACTTACCGTGCCGCAAATTTTTTTTTATCTTCTATGTGAGTAGAAATCTCGATAGAAGATTGAATCTCTTGCTGTTGCAACTTGCAACTTGTGTACATTTGGAAAAGCTTCGTCTTTCGTCGCGCTAACCCGTTAAATTAGCGTCAATTCGCCGTCACGCAACAACGAGTACCGTAATTACATCCCCGGGGCTGGAGGAGGGAGGCTTATGTCACCCGTTTACTCGACGATCGCCACGTGAGTGAACACGTGCACGCGTACGCGCGCGCATCCAATTCCTCCTACGCAAGCGTGTGTGCGCGTGTGCGCGCGCGCGCGAGCGCAAGTGTGGCGCGAGGATGGCGATGGATCGGACGATGTATGGAAAGGTGGAGCGAAGCGACATTTATCAGCCTTACAGGATCACCATGAAGAAGGGCTCGCCTCCTGGATGTAAGTTTCTCAAACGATGAGTGTTCCGCCCCGCATGAACGCGATAATAACGCGAATGCCCGATCCTCCCCGCGAGAGGATTAATTGACGTCAATTATGCTGTGTTGCTCTCATTCTTATTAACTCGCGATGCACCTCCTATTGCTCAATTAATTAGACATCAAAGATATCTTTTGTTTATAGTATAATAACGTCAACATTGAAATTTGAAGATTTACAAGTGAAGAATTTCATCGTCGATTTATGTATAATTGTAAGACTATATATGTTTTACATGTCGCTATTGTAAGATATAATTTGAGATCGTTCCGGTCGTTAGCAGTTTAGCCACCCGTTATTGAGAGATATTTTGACGAATGACTCGTGTTCACAATAGAGCGGTCGTCGATGTTCTCCGAGCCAACAGTCGTCAAAGCTGCTCCGTCGAAGGCAGACGGAGCTCTGCTGTATTCGGAATTTTTTCGACTCGGAGAGCTCCTCTCTAGTGTATTATTTGATTTAAATAAATGAATTATTGTATTTTACACCACTGATCCTTAAAAGATTTTGTCTTGCTCTGAGTGAGTTCGGGATTAAGAATTATCTTCGCTAAAAAGAACTATCGTTCGACCGTGATTTAAATATCCATTTTGAAGTGTTTTAACTGACAAGATACGCAGATGCAAATTGCGGCGTAAGGGAACGGAACTAATTTCTAAATGCCTCCCGAGAACATGTCCTCGCGATGTTATCTGCATTTACGGATAGATTACGTTCACCACTTATCTCGGACATGATGCAATTGGACGTCCATCGGAATGTATCCATCGGCGGTTTTTTCGATCGGCGATCCGGTTACACCCGCATACGATTAAGCACGCGACGCCCTCGGAACACCGCGGCATAAATTGCCGGCGTGTTCTTTGACGATCGATCGATCGATCGAGCGTACGAATTCAAGGTAAAACGCCGGTGCGTAGGCATCACCTCTTCCTCGATCGCTCTCCTCAAGGGGGATCCTACCGCACCTCCATATGAGGTCAGCCTCACGTAGTTTCCACCTCCTACGCTCGCCCGCTCGCGACGCAAATATGTAGGAAGGCGCGATAAAGGAATCGCGCACACTCGCGGCCGGTTTAGATACCAGTCGATCGTTTAACCGAGTAATCGGTAAAAAAAAAATATTTTGTCCGAAAAAGAGTTTGCGTCCGTGTCGTTGGTGATTAATTTCGCAATTAACGTCCTTCGCGAACGCGGTTTAACGTGCGGGAGAACCCAGAAGAGCTCTCGAGTTGTTCTTCGTGTTGGATTATTATCCAATTAATATTGCCGTAATTTTTCTTTCTTACGATTGTATGAAATATTACTGAACGGATTAAAATAGACGGGTTAATCGATTTCGACGTTAATCACAGAGTGATCGCGTGTGCGCGGGTGTGCCGCGGTGGTTCGGGGGTTGCAGTGTTTCGCGCTCACACATACACATACATACAGTGTGATATTTCGTTATCGATTCCTGTTCCAATTTCCTTGATCGGAATCTTCCGATGTTTTCTCGTTTCTGATTCGCCGCCCATCCCACGGTCTCTGTTAAAATCGCGAGAGGGTGGCGCGCAGGAGAGAGAGAGAGAGAGAGAGAGAGAGAGAGAGAGAGAGAGAATCTCACGTAACAGAAGTTTCGTAAGGCGCGACAGCCGCAACAACAGCACGTGGTGCCAGTACCTCCTGGTCCCGCCAGACATCCGGTGCCGATCGATCATCTCCGCCGTCTTCGCGAATCATCTCGCCGCATCCGCGCACGTGCCCGTGTCGCTCCACGTGTCCAGTTTTAGTAGTACGACTCGTCGACGTGGTGGTCGTTGATAACGGGGTTTTACAGAGCCGGGCACTCGTCGATTCCGCTCGATTCCTCTCGTCGTTCCCGGTGGCCGTGACTCTTTGACCTCGCACCAGTAATCTAGCCCATTATTTCATTGCATTGTTCGCGGCTTCATTATTCGCAGTAGTCGAAGGTGTGTAGTCGACGTGCGTGGTCACAGTTTTTGCTTTAGTCTTCAAGAACTCGATGAAGTTAGTCCCGAAATCGGACCAATTCAATTTAGATCGTTTTTTTTTATCGAAATGTCAAGAAGGTCGTCTTTGTTCTTAGATGATGATTCATCTGACCGAATGTCCACACCTCGTCCGAGACGCGCGATCACCAAGGTCACGATCGATCGAGATAGAAAATCACGCGCGTTATACGCGATTCGCGAAAACGAGATCCGCGGCTACGTTTCTGGAGTATAGGATTAAAGTGTCCAGCTAGAGAACGGGTCTAAGCTAGTTCTGCTCTAATTTGAAGGTTTATTTTTACCCCGCTGCCAGCGAGTTAGAGCACAACACAGACGCCGTGGTGGATTCAGTCCGCGCGTGATTTACAGAGAATCCGGACGGGGACGGCGATTATCGTTGCCGATAACGAATACGGCGGATATTTTTGGCGTATCAATCTTTTCGTCTGTTTACATCCTCGAACCGCCATCTGTCGCGTCTCCTGTCCGTCACAATATATATATATATATATCTCATTTCCCGTCGCTTCCTCTAATTGGCAGAATAACATTTCAAAATCATATTTGGCATCGATAAGAATGCAGGATGGCCCAGAAATCACTACATACAATTCATATATTAATATAAAAAGCTGTTTAATATCACAAATACATTATTACGGGAATTGTTATTGATTTAAGTATATAAAATTTAATTAATACTTTAATTACTATTTCTGTAATTTTTTATATGCCATGTGATATATGAAACGTATAACGAGACTTATAATATATCCTTCGATTTTACGAATTTAATTTCGGAATAGTGACCTCTCGGCCAGCCTGCAATAACATATCTTACAACATCTCGCGTTGTGCCTCGCGTAGAGAAAGTGCCGCGTGAGATTCTTGAAAACGCGTAAAAATGGCGGATGTGATGAGGCCTGTCTCGCCGATTTCACCGGTTCGCCTGGCGACGATTCAACGTCACGCACGATGGGAGCAATACGTCAGTGAGTATTGCGAAATCACCTCTAATTAAACCCTAATTCCGACAGTGCGTGCGATGTGAAAAAACACGCTTCTTTTTATCTCCGAAATGCGACTTGTCTTATCAAATGTTTTCTCAACACGTATATTTGCCTCTTCTATTTTTTTATTTCTAATTTACTTTTTAATTTTTTTTTTTTTGAGTGGCATAGATATTCTTATGATTCGTAAAAAGTAAATTTACCGTTCGCAACGCATAATTATCTTCTATTTGACAATATTTTCCGGAAAATGAAATTTCAGAAACTGTAGCGATTCTGAGTTGTATAATCTCTTATTATGTTTGCACACCTTGATGTAATTTTAAGTCGGTCTCTTAAGATAAATAAATTCAAGTTGGCCTCTTCGTCTCGTTTCGCCGCGAGTTTCGTATATTAGCGCCGCGCATTTGGCCGCGATTAGGCTGAATTAGCGAGTAATTCAGATTGATGGGAATTCGTGTTGCGGCAATAACGGCCGCCAGTGATACAGTTAACGTCACGAAGCTCACCGTCCCTCTCTTCTCCTTGCGGTTCACGCAAGATACGCGCGCGCGTTACGCGCTCGCGGCTACGCGCAATATTGATGATTCCGACTCGCGGTATGAATCAGCCGTGCAAAATAGACCTCGATAAGCCTCGGCAGGCTCCGTGCCAGTGCTGAAGTCCCATTCAGACGATTACCCAATGCCCGCGGGGCGGGCGCACGCGGGGCGCAAAAAAAGATCACGTTAGCGGAGCGCAAAAAGCGCAAACGCATCGCGCGTGCAACGCGCAGGGAAGTATGCACGAATGCGTCTGAACGCGCGTGCCGATCTTGTCTAAATAAGTCCGCGAGTGTTTCTGATAATTTTTCACGTATGCGAAACATTCTCGCGCACGCTCGATCTTATTTGAGAGCGTTGAATTTGGCGTCGCGACACCTACGTCGCACAATGTAACTCATTTGTTGTGAAACATTTATTTTGACGTTATTATATTTTTGACGATGATATTTAATGCGTGCGTTTAATCGCGGAACTACGAATTTTATCGTAATACAAGAATTTGTATGCCAAAGCTTGGAACATTTAACCTTCTCCTGCCATCTGCGATGTACACACATCAACAGAATACTGCACGATTGTTCGCTATAGCGATAAGCATTAAAGTGCTTTAAGAGACTGGTTATTCCACTTAGCTACTCGGAAAGGCAGTTTGTCTTCGGATTTTCTCGAAGCTGTTTCCACGCGTGCAATATTCGTTAATTAGTTTAGTAATTAAGAATTTAAAAATTGACAAAGCAAAGTCTTAAATTAATATAAAAATTAAAGTTTGTAGAAATTTGTCTGCAGAGGAAAAGTGGGAGGATCACTGCACCGAATAAATAATCAAACTGGATTGCCGAAACTTCCCTAAATTTCTTCATCTTTATTCTAAAACTTAGAAATTAAAAAATAAAATTTCCCCAAGTTGGGGAATTTTATTTAAGCAATTTCAATTAAACCGAAGAAGTCGAGGTTTTGAATTCTTCTGAAAAGACGAAGTAGGACACCCTGTATGTATTCTCTCCTAGAACCCCCTAGAACAGCTGAACGTTTCCTCGAAGCCGCGGCGTGTTTGCTCGCACGATGCGCAATCGGGTTCCCCGTAATCAGGCAGAGGGGGACATGTCGCGGAGCAACCAGCCGCCTAGGCGTCCGTTTCTTCTGAACAACCGCAGCTTCCGCTCAACATACGGGAATGCCCCACTACCGTCTTAATGCCTGCTTAATGTCCTTCCTCCTCTCCAGCTCCTCGCTCCTTCCTTCCAGCTCACGGTATCGCCTTCCTGCGCACTTCAATGATAATCAGTCCCGCCGACGTTCCCGTGCGCGTCGCGTCATCCGTATACGCGTGGCATTCCGCTTAAACACGTGCCGCGTTCCCCGGGAGTGCGTGGCAAAATCGGAGCGAAACCGATCGTCTGGGAACCGCTCGAAAAAACGCGGGCGAACGCGAAAAGAGAGCTGTGGCGAACGACGACATAAAGCTGCACCTTGACTCCATCATCCTCGAGAATCTCTTTGTGCGATATAATAGTCTTGTTCGATCTTAGTCCCTATACATTCAATCGGTGACGTTTCTCGCACTTCGACAACTTTTTTCGAAGCACAGATGACAAGATAGTGTCAATAACGACAATAGTAATACCGGGATATGTACACAATTGGCGCGATACGATGCGATTCGCGATAAATTTCGCAGATTAAAACGCTTGATAAACACTTTGCTTTTCTTATCGGCGCCAGTCTTTAACGCGACGGAACGTCACGGTGTCTCGGTTCGCTTTGTTTTTCTCATATTTCGCTTCGGTGAACTAATTCGCCGCTATATATTTCTCGGTATAGCGTCTCAGCGTTAATTATGCATTCGTTCTTAACTGGACCCTTCTTGAGGCTGCTTCGTGGAATCCTCCGTGAATTTTTTAACGTTCTGAATGATTTATATCTCTTTACATCTTTGACATTTTTTTATATATAATCATTTGGTACGCAGGAAGGACAGAACCGCCTTGCTTGCTGAAAGAAGTCGCGCCGCGGGATCCTCGGCTTCGTGATTTCTTCTTTTTTTTTTCCTCGTTCGCGGATTTGTCCCCTCGATTTCACGCTTTCTCCGGGCATTTTTACTCGCCGGGGACTCGCCGAAGTCGGCCTGTAAAACTCGCGGCCGCCGCTCGCGGGGTTCAACGTTCCTGAAATAGTGGGTGTGTCGGACCTCTCTCGCGATCGCCGCGATGGAGACGACGCACGTGCCTGAAGAGGAGAACCTGTACCAGGTGTACAATCACGAGAGAGCGACCAGTAACCTCGTTACTCTCGGTAAACGCACATTTCCCTGACAATTAGACTTACCAATTAGACGACGTGCTATACTTTGGGCGGGACGAACAAATTTTCTGAAAGAAATTCCCAAGTTTCTCGGCCTTCTAAGGAATTTTCTCTGGTAAACGCGAGAGAAAGTTCGGGCAAAGAAATAAATCCTTATACCGTCGACACGAGAAATCCGCTGCACACCGTGTAGGTCGCAAAAGGATGTGAATTTGCAACAATAGGGATTCACGTAGCCTTCCTCGACCCGTGTAACGGACTTCTCACGCGAATATATCACGCGAACAGTAAAATGTTTATACCCCGTTTCTGCTTTTCCACACGGTATTTAACCACGTCTCCTGTATTTTTCTCCGCGTATTCAATATTAAACATATGATTAATCATAATTTAAGTATAATTTCGTACGTCGGCGACGCAATTTGCGTTTGATGTTGCTTTCACGTTGAATTTATTATTCGTTGTTCGCGTGGATTACGTTATTCGCATGGATTACACGGCGTTTAGCTCGCAGATGGGTAATATTTCCTGATATTTTAAGTTAAACAAATTAAACGTGTCGCGGCATTCACGCGCCTGCCAAGGACGACGACGGCGACGAAGCGGTGGGCATGGCGTCATCATGAAACAATGTCGCGACATTTCCTTTTTTATATACATGTGACAGCTCGAAATTAAATAAGTGAGCCCAATTGTGCCAATAAGTGCGTTATCAGTTCGTGAAATTTTTAGAATGTTTTGCTTCATTATGGTATTCCTCAAATTATTATTCTGCTTAAAAAAATTTATATATTGTATTTTAAATTGAAAATTACACAATCTGTTGACCAGCAAAAATCAATTATCTTATATACCTATAAAGATAAAAATTAGAATTAGCAACAATTATTTTCTATCTATTGCTCTGAATGGATACATTAATATAACAATATAATTAAAGATAGATAGTAGATATCTGAAGATTAACAATAATGAAATTTTCATTTGTTATTAAGTATTAATCGAACAACAGGCAGATAATAAAGATATGAACTCTTTAAATAAAATCGATCGAAGAAATCAGTTATATGACGGGAATATAAGTTTCCGCCCATTTTTCTCTACAAAAATAAGCTTTGATAAACGTGGCGAAAGCTCGAAATAGTGGAGATTCGTTGATAAATTTAGGAATGAGACAACGTGATGAACCACGCGCCTGCACTTTTTTCGAGATGGATTTAAATTCCGATCGTCGATCCGTCCGAATTTTGCGATTGCAGTTGCAAGTGAAATTAATCTATCGATCTATTGTGTATTCCAGATGCGTTGCTGGCGGACTTGCAGAACACTGTGTCGTCGGAGGGAAATCACGTCGGCGGAGGTAACGCGACACCCGGTTACGGATCGCTGAATGGCGCCCGCATCCACACGACCACCGGGTACAGATCTTACGATAATCGAACATCGCCACTGCCACCGCAATCGGTATGTCAAAAGCCTTTCAGTTCCTCAATTAGATTACTAATAGACCTACGAGGACTATGCGCCTCTCGTGCGCGCCTAATTCTGAAGATTTACGTCGAAAAAGAGTTAATTTTATATAGAAAGCAGAAGAACATCCATATGTATGTATATGTATGTATAAAATGGAACATATTGAAATTACGAGTCCAGCGTCGAAAGAAAAAGAAAACCGTGATAAATGACAAGGGTGCAACTGATCTTTTTGACATTTTAATATCTCAACCTTCGGCGTTCAGTTATCTCCTATACATGAGTCAGTCATACGATATCGTAATGTTTATCAAATCCATGTCTTTGCATTTCGACAGAGTCAGATTCGCAAAAGAAATTTCATAAGGGTAGGGTTCTGTTTTGATATGATAAAACGTTTCCCGATGATAAAACGCAAGAGAACGGAACGGTGGTTTATCGATGTGCGTGGGAAGCGCTCACCCCTGTTATGAAGAGACGTTGCTGAACGCCGTGGAAGTGGTTCGCCAGATGGAGCCAAGTGGTTCGACGACGACGACCACGACTGTTCTGAAATCGCTCGCGGTTTCTTCCACAAGGTATCAACTGCCAGCGCGAAGCGACATTCGTGTTGATGCCAGAGGCGTTCGACATATTTCAATACACCACGCGCGCGATCGTTAGAAGATAAAGAAAACTCGACTATTTTCGACAGGACTGCGGCAATAGGGATTCTCTATTCACTACTATGTAAACCCGATCTCTCTCCTCTCGTCTCTTCGCTGAAATATTAAACTATCAGAGACGTCAGTTGCACCCTCATTTATCACGGTTTTCTTTTTCTTTCGACGCTGGGCTCGTAATTTCAATGTGTGTTCCATTATACACGGACGCTCCTCTAATGCTATACAAAATTAACTCTTTGGCACTAGCGCCGTTTCGCGATTCCAGTCTACAAAACGTCCCGAAATAGAGCAATCCGTCGTCATGGTCGCGAAAGCGTGACACAGGGGGAATCCGTAAATAAACCTCTTCGCCGACGGTTAATAACTGTCGATAAGATGTCTTGGCGAGATACAGCGCGGTCTCGTCAATGTCTTTCGATCGTCCGCAGCTGGCTTTCAAGGCCACAAACACCATTAATTCACGGACATTCGCCATTAAGTGGGATCCAGTTTAGAGTGATCGAGGTATCGGATCCCCATTTAATCTCAAACGTAGACGCTATACGGAGAGGATTTTTTTTTAATTTACCCTGCAAATTATGTTAATTGTGGAACAATATAGTATTTAGGTAAATTTTACCGTGCACTACAATAAATTTTACTGTAAAATATTAAATATTTTATGCACTCCGATAAGCGTTTACGTTAGAAACGTGAGATAGGCTTTAAAAAGGTCTAAACATTTCCGTTTAGTACACGGAGATAATTTCTTTTTAATTTACCCTGCAAATCATGTTAATTGTGAGACGATATAGTATTTAGGTAAATTTTACTGTAAAATCTTATTGTAGTGCACAGTAAAATTTACCTAAATACTATATTGTTCAACAATTAACATGATTTTCAGGGTAAATTTAAAAAAAATTCTCTCCGTGTACTAAACGGAAATGTTTAGACCTTTTTAGAGCCTATCTCACGTTTCTAACGTAAACGCTTATCGGAGTGCATAAAATGTTTATATTAATAGACAAGTGTTTCAATTTTTTTTTATCTGCCCACGTATCCGCGTAACAACGATTCCTCCCGTGTATTTTGCGAGCGTGTAACACTGAGATCTTTGCGCAATAATTTGATCGGCGGACGTTCTCAAATATTTTCAGAGCGTGGCCGCTCAAATTTGTTTAGACATGGATCCGTCCGTATCGCAATCATGAAAATAGACCGCTAAAGAAGTTGAAGAGTCCGGGAGACTCCCGGCGGTTTTCGCTCGCGACAATATTCCGATTATCTCTCGCGCGTCAACCGCAGCCGGGTTGTTTTGAAAGGGGGGGAAAAAAGAGAAACTTCCACGGAGTCATAAAGCACGGGTCGGGAATAACTGTGACGCAACGGCGTGGCTAAAATCGGAATCAATATCGTGTCTAAAATTGACTGTCCGAAGCATCACTACGGGCAACAACGTCGAAACGTGTGTGTGCGCGCGGCAGTCGGAATCGTGTATCAGGTCCCGGAGAGAGATTCTCGAATTACTCCCGTATACTCTTTATTTTCACTGGGGAGAAATTACGCGAGGTTGTGCCTGAAGATGCGAAGGTTACGCATACAAACCGAGCTTAATTTATTCGCCGCCGAATAGAGCAGTGAATAAAGAAAATTCGAATCTGAATCGTTAACACATTTATACGTACGGGCAATTTTAGAAATCTAATTCTAATTAAAGTTGAAAACAATTTAAAGAAAATTTTAAAACGGAGACGTTTATTCTCGCTAAATTGTACTATATCAAGATATACTTTTGTTTGTTGGCTTGAAAAATTGCATGATGCAAGAACTCGAATTGTTAATACATACGCATGGATAATTTTAGAAATTTATTTATTTTATTAAGGTTGAAAACCATTTAAAGAAATTTAAAAGACGTCTATTCTCGCTACATTGTACTATATTCAAATATTTTTATTTGCTGGTTTGAAAAATTGCGACGTTAAGAAAAATGTCAGTAAATAAGTATTATTAAAAATTATTGATCCGTTGCTCCGTAAAATAATTGAGGTCGAGGAATAATGTGATACGCAGATAAAAGTATCGTGCAGCAATAAATTTCATTCGCGCAGAATATTGTTGGAAAAAGTCAGTCGTATAGGGACTGGTGCGTTTCCGCGCGAGTTTTCCGCGACAAAGAGACCTCCACCTGTTACGTTCCCTGTCGATTTTATCGATTCTCGCTCGGCCTAGGGCAGCGCGGCCTCTATTATTCATGATCCTCGACTCGTGTCGCGCTCCGGTTGCAAAATTTGCGGTCGAACGCAACGCCAAGCCGCGGCTATACATATACGCACCGTTCGCTGGCCGCGTCAATCCTCGCTGAATTGCGCTTTATTTGCAGTAAAAAAAAAAGGAGAGAAACCACCTCTGTCCATCTTTAGTCCGACAGCTCGCCGAGTCGCGAATTATGTATTCATGCATTCAGGAGTGCGCAAATATTACGTATCTCTTTTTGCCGGCTTTTGCATACCTCGGCACTCGGCCGCTCGGCGAGAACTCGTGTGTATATTGAAAGTAGAATTGCGGTACGGACAAGCGAATATCGATTTCGATGCATTTTGCAGTACGAAGCCGTACGAGCGGTAGAAACGTAGTTTGCAGTTCTTCTTTTAGTTCTTCTTACGGGATACTTTATTTTTAATCGGAAAGATAAATTTGTTACTGTCTCGTTATTTTTTTTGTATCGGAAAAAGGATAGAGTTAAAACAATAATTTTTCTTTGCCACAGAATGAACTGTCGATACATTAAATGCTTGGTTCTGCAAATATTTATATTTCAAGAGAAAATAGCAAATAATTTAAGCAGCTGACTAAAATGATTTTAAAAATGACAGATTTTATTTATTTTTATCTGGTTATCCATCTATTCTACTTCAATATTGTTTGTGTACAATAGATGAGAACACCCTATGTTAGGTCAACGAACTTAAAGTCTAAGTCTATAATCGAATTATGATCGTAGCACTTTGTTTGAATTGTTTAAATAATAAGTTAGATTACAGTCAGACTTGACACTCTTGATCGCCACTAATTACACGAATTATATTTGTATAAATACAATTAAATTTATCATATTTATTATTCCATTATTATATTTCTAATTTATACTTAAATATTGTGTGTAATGTCTTCATAGTATAGGTATAATTATTTTATAGTGCATTATAGCATACTAAATTATGAAATATTATTAAAAATGTATACTTATGAATTAATCACTTTTCCATGTTTTCGTTTGCGTCGTGAAACCTGTTTAAAGAAGCGGAGAAGAACTCTCGCGCGTTGAAGGGTTCAACCGATTGTTTCACGATTGATGAGAGTTTAAAACAGCTAAGAAATTTCCGACAGTTGCCGCCTCCGCGTTTTAATAAATCGCGCCGTTCACATTACTCTTCTCGAAACGTGTCGTTATAGCATCGATCTGTCACCAAGTTTGCACTGCAGTCGTCAGTCTCGGACGTGACGCGATTCAGTTTCGATACAGTCCGAGACCTATTTTCGTGATGGCTAACTAGGCGAAAATTGTCAGCGAAGACTTGTTTCGTGAAGCGTCCTGATGCGCAGAGATATCATAATTTTTTATTTAAAAATTACAACTCTGCAACAAATTTTCTTTAGCTATTTATTATTATAATCAGTTATAAAATGACAAAAAATTATATTTGTATCCGTTGTCGATTTTTCGTTTTTAAATCAGTTAATGATTAATTAACTAAATTAAATTAAAGTATCGTAAATTTTTTTATTATCATTTCTTTGTCGCGGATGTAATCTGTGATAAAATAAAAATATTCTTAGTGATAAATTTCGGTTCGAGTAACTCTATAGGCTCTGCTATTTTTCAACGTTGTCCCACGTACTATTGTCCAACACACACAGCAATTGCAGCGACGACATGACGCTAAACAGCATCTCGGGTTACGAGACATTGTTGACGAATGGCAATAACCATTTCTTACCGAAATTACCGTTGCCGGGTGCCAAATCCTGCCAGCTTGCCGAAGGTCGCGCGCGGAACACAGTTCGAGCGCTTTCCCTTTGACGCGAATTTAGCCCGCGCGCGCGCGCCTACACGATTCCAGAACGCGATTCGCGTTGCAGCTGCATCTGCCGATGCAGCCCGTTGCATAAACGCCGCCGAATGCGGTAACAACGCGAGCACGTGACCGCGACGGATTGGAGAGCTGTACACATGCCCGGACGCGTGATGTATCTCGGAGAAGCGTGTGCGAGAGGTATACCTCGCAAAATACTGTTTTACTCTCGGGAGGAACCAAATTTTCGGAAAATTTTGAAGGCGTCGGCGTTTTTTATTGAAAATAATTCACTTATAATAAATTTATTGGTAGATATTCGCAGATTGGAAAGCTTGTGGAAGGCGAGCGTATTTTTTAATTCTCATGAAAAATAAATAGTAAATTTGCAGTCAAAGAATCCTCTATCGATTTGGCAGCAAACCGGTATCCCGAGTTTTGCGAATAGTGCAAAGATCGCACGAGGGATCCTGCGCGGATGCTGCCTCGCGTTAATAATGATGTCGCCACCGAAATTTCCCCGCTGAGCGCCGATACGTCTTGCTGACATGTTTCTACTGGCTTACCGCGAGTGTATTTTTAGACCGACAACTCAGCCGTAACCTAGTTTTCGTCCAGCAGGATGCGCCGTAAATGCTGTTTTATTGCAAAAAAAATAGTCACGCGGGAGTTTAGCGATAAATTTTGCTATCCGTGTTTGCTTTTCAGAAATTCGATTGCAATTCGTCTATTATTTTTGGGAGTTATTTGAAAGATCGTAATTTATTCAATATCATAAATCTGCAAAATCTACAAAATCGTTTGTTTCGACATAACGATACGATATCTTACAATAGCTGCGAAAAATATGCTGAAATATAAACGTAAAATACAATTAGTTACGTTATACGCCCGAAAAAAGAAAGATATTTCATGTATTTAAAAAATATAATTGGATAATTTTTCAGCACCTTGATAATTATATCTATTAATGTCCTGCGCTTAAATAGCGAGGATAATAACCGTCGTAAATTGTGGTGGCGATTTATTTTTATGCAGGGGGGCGGGTTATTATAGAGACCGACCTCAATTGCATTAGTTTCGTTCCGCGTCATTTACGAATCCTCTTCGAAGACACGTGAGAGCTTCAATTTATCGCTACGGATGGTTGCGGTTCGCATTTGGCCATCGATTAGCCTGACGTCAAGCATCAGATTTAATTTCGGTAAACAAGTCGGAGCTACTTCTCGCGAGTCGCCAATTTTGTAATTGAAACATCTTTGATTTACTTATTAAAATGATATCTTTAACGTCAACTTGAACAATATGGATAAACATTGTACATGCTCAATTAATAGTATTAAAAGAGTATATACAACACGAGTTTATTTTGTATAAATATCATAAATTTTTAAATATATTTAATTTATTTTTAAATAATTTTTGTCATTTTATTATAAATTATGTGATACGCTAAAAATTTCCATTATGTCCCAAATCTTACCTAATATTATTATCGGATGTTTGTATCGTTTTTCAAAGAAGGGATGCGTGATGGCGATCATATTTTTAGGATATTTTCTCTTGCGACTAAAAGCGATCTAAAATTGACTTTGTCGGAACTAAAAATGCACGTCGTCCTGTATGACGGCGTGTTCCACACGCGCCGCATAATGATTCTAGTGACATCATGTTTCTAAATAATAATGCACTTTTCGGAAACTTGGCAGGCCATTGCTTTTTGTCGATTAACAAGCCAAGAGCATCTGGGTGAACGCAGAAAATCGCGCAGCTGTCGTTCAAGTCGTCTTCGCGTACTGTCCATTCATCCGAAGAAATCCTCGTAATTGTCGGACTTTTCCAACCGTGGCATTCGACATTGAATATTTCCACATTTCAATATCGAAGAGTTTATTTAAATTATTATACTAATTTAAATTATTAGGGCTCTATATTTTTCTCTATGATTGAAAATGTATTTAAAAAATGTTCGCTATCAAGCTGAAATTTTATCACAAGCATGGAATTAACAGTAAAATTATCAACTAACGCAATAGGACTAAATTTTTACGCTTGCAGAGACTGCATGGTCATGATAAACAATAAATTGATAAGAATAAATATTTTAAGACACGGCAAAACATCAGTGAATTATTGCATTAATTCTTTTAAGACAATTTTTTCTGTTATGTAAAATTGATGAAAAAAATCGGTGTCTTTGATGTGTGGATACATATATAATATGAAGGAACTTGGAGCCGTGATCGCTTCATCGCGACCTTTCCCGAATGTTGTAGCCGACTTATCAGAATCGCGAGGCAATAGAGGAAACCATGGGTAAAACCGGAAGTACGTCTTACACCCAGGCTGGCACCGGGAGTAAGATGCCTTCCCTCAATAACAATCTTTCCGAGCTGGACACCCTTCTGCAAGACCTGAGCAACGCGCGCTATAATGCCCACTTTCAAGAAAGAGGTTGACTATTTAGACTCTTAACCCTTTCCCGAACGGTCAATTTTTTTCAACGGACAAAACTCTTTTCTTAGTGATTTCTTGAAAATTCATATCTCTCTGAATCTTTCTTTAAAAAATCACGAACGACATGAAGTACAAAAGCTTTTTCACGGATTAAATCTCACAGATTCGATATCTTATTTTTTAATTAATCTTCATACGAGATGTAGTTTGGACGAATTTTTAGTTCGCGATTTTATTTATAAGAGAATTAAACGTTGGTTGCTAAGAAAGCAATCGATGAAAGCATTTGCTGAAAGAAATCAGCTTTATATTTGTGAAAAACAATCTGTAGGAGCACGATAATTTTGATAACGTCCTATTTCTTTCATATATTTTCTTCTTTTACTGTCAAACCTTTCGGGAAACATCAGAAACGGTTTCGCAGAAGCGGTTTATCGCACAGAGTTTGCTCGATGATTATAGACAGCCGCGCGTCCACAGGAATGAACGGGGGTGCGACCAGCCCCATGCTCCGTTCTCCAAGTAGCATGTCAGCCTCTCGACCCACCGTCGACTCGTTGCTCGAGGAGCTAAGCACCGCAGTGCCTAACGGGTGAGCTTTCTGTGTGCGCGCAAATTAATCCTAAAACGACTGTAAAGAGCAGGCCGCTTTCAAACATCTAGCTCTTGCGATTAATAATTTCGAGATTTGAATTTGATTATTCCGGCGAGTTCAGATTAATTCGTAGAAGATCGAACTCGGCGGCGAATCGGGGGGATTTCGATCCCCGAGATGTAATTCGCGTTCGATAAAACGGACTGTTGTCCCTCTCCCCCTTCGAGCAGAGACTACCCCGCCGACGGAAAGGTGAGAGTCACCATACAAGAGACGTCCACGGAGGTACAGCCGGTCTACGACGGCTATCCCTCCAGTCAGCAAGGCTCGTTGAGCCGAACCGAGGTTCACCGGAGTTACCCTAACGGTCATACCGCGAGTAACGCTACCAAGGAGCTGGACGACCTAATGGCTTCGCTTTCCGAATTTAAGGTATCCATCCATCCATAACGTAATCACGTAATAATTGCAATTTACATATATAATGTTTACATAACGCGATTTACCCTTTCGGAGCGGCCGATATAGCAATATTTCATTTTCCAGGGAGATTAAATGTATAATTTTAATTGATTAAAAAAAAAAGACAGTTGATAGACCTAAATGTTTAAAATATTTAGTTGCAAATATATCGACAATTAGATCGAAAACCTGGAAAATTGTAAAGAAGTTTAGTTTGAATGCCGTTCCTAAAGGGTTAAATAACTCTTTCGGTGTCCACATCGGCTTCCAGCTCTCGTACGTTTCCATTGAGCTTGAGATCGCCAAATAAACTAAATAAACTCTTTTGTTGCTGGCTGGAAGCCGAATGGACTCTTTTACGCACTTTTACGTTTAATCTCGTACCGAAAGAGTTAGCATATGCTGCTTCTCGTCTGCATTGTGTATATAACCGGGTTCGAAAGGTAACATTCAAACATCTATAGAAGATCCGTTCCAAAATGTATCATTAAACTCAGTGATACACCATTATCTTATCCCGAGGTTCTCCGCTCCTCCGTACACGGATCCTCCCATGTAGCTGTTGACGAAACAGGTACAGTCTGCTGTCTGACTGTCCCCGACCGTTCGCCGCTTTGATTTACCGCGGAATCGGAAAACACCGGGGCGTTAAATCCACTCCTGCCCATTCTTGGCTCCCCGCGTTACGAAAATAACCACCTCGCCACCACCTCGTGGTGCCGAGGACCACCTACCAGAGCCGCACTAGATATTCCTCCCCGACGACCTCCCCCGGTCTTTTCCGCGGCCGCGAAAGAAGGGGGACCAAGAAGACCAAGTCACGGAGAGGTGGGGCACCCGCGCATCGGTGCGACCCGCCGAAACACCCGGAGCTTTCGGCCAGTCTGCAAGCTCGCCCGTGACGATCGACATCTCCTACTTTTTACCTTGTCGTCTCGCCCGTGGGTCTTCATTTCTCTTCACTCGACACCTCGCGCGGACTCGCACCCTTGACATCCCGACCTGACCCTTTTCTCTCACCTTGCCCGTCAAATCAGCGATATCCAACCTTGAACAATCTTCGCGTCCTGACACCTCTCTCACTCGACACCGTACACACACACATACAGACACGTGCACGATCGATACAGATTCGTAGAATTATACGTTCTTCTTTTTCGAGGGTTTAGTGCGACGAGTGCAACTCTCAGCTTTTCGAGAAATTGAAATCGTTCGATCGTTCGATCTCGAGGTTGAGGAAATTTTTTTTATACTTTCGAATAACGATGGGATATCAGAGAGAACTGCAAGAAAAATATCTTTTTTTAAATTCCATCGCCATATTTTCTCAGCTCTACAAAATCGAGATCGAAGCGTCCGCACTTCGGACTTAAATCTCAATTTCTCGGATAGAGAGTTGTCACTCGTGTATTTTTTCACGCGCTCGATCCTACGATCCCCGATTGTCTTTGCAGATCAATAGCGGCACCCATCAGCACCAGACGGTGACCGACTCCCCGTACGCGAAGCCCAACAAGGCCACCAAGAGCTCGCAGAGCCCTTTGCCCGCCGAGGGCACGCAGACCCGCGTCCACATTACCGAGACCCACACGACTCATCTCTATCACCCGGGAGAGAGCCAACCTCTCAAGCAGAACCAGTTGGATTCTATGCTCGGCAATCTTCAGGCCGACATGAGCCGCCAAGGTGTCAACACGACCCAGAAGGGATGCTGCAGCGCCTGCGAGAAGCCTATTGTGGGCCAGGTAGCCGTCAACCGCGTCATGACTCCTGATAGCTGATAGCGATATCCAGCGACCGGATATAATTCTCCTTGTTAATATTCTTGCTGCACAGGTGATAACGGCCTTGGGCAAGACGTGGCATCCGGAACACTTCACATGCACCCACTGCAACCAGGAGTTGGGCACGCGGAACTTCTTCGAGAGGGAGGGTCACCCTTACTGCGAGACGGACTATCATAACTTGTTTTCGCCTCGTTGCGCTTACTGCAACGGGCCCATTCTCGATGTAAGGATCGCGGAGTATTTTGGGGCTTTTGAGGAAAAGAGTTATAAGTCGTACTCGTGGATTTTCACAAGTGCAACCGGGACGAAGATTGAAAACCGAATAATAAAAAGGCTTGGCATAAAAATCCTCATTTCCCCCTGAACGTTTTATCCTTTGGCATTCATGAAATACCTAAAAACGACGTGACAAAACTGTAATAGAGCTTTTTCTCTAAATCATATTGTTGAATCGATTATGACACAGAGAGATCATCGCCGAAAATGTCAATCCGTACTCTTTTCCCGAACGCCTCTAAATGTCTCATCACGCAAATTCGCTCGCGGATGCGAAAGAGATATTTTTCTTCCAGAAATGCGTTACCGCCCTGGAGAAGACCTGGCACACCGAGCACTTCTTCTGCGCCCAGTGCGGCAAGCAGTTCGGCGAGGAGGGCTTCCACGAGCGGGACGGCAAGCCCTACTGCCGCGAAGACTACTTCGACATGTTCGCACCCAAGTGCGGCGGCTGCAATCGCGCAATCATGGAGAATTATATATCTGCGCTCAACAGTCAATGGCATCCGGACTGCTTCGTCTGCAGGGTAGGTATCACGCTCGCGAGATTCGTCTGTCTCATCACCGAATTCTATTTTCAGCGCAAACTTTACGAGATCGTCCAACATCTTCGTTTCCCTCATGCGTGCTATCTTAAAAGTCCCGAAAAATCGCGGAGAAAATGTCGCAAGAAACGTAGATCAGGCACATTTAAACTCTGACAATTACAGGATTGCAAGAAGCCGGTCTCCGGAAAGTCCTTCTACGCGATGGAAGGACAGCCGGTGTGCCCCAAGTGCGTCGGGGTGGACGACGACGACGAAGAGGAAGAGCAAGAGGCGTAAGGACGCCGCTCGATCCTGCCGCCTCACGTCGTCGTGCCAATTTCTCACGCCGAATTTCTTTGTCACTTATCGCCCAGTTATCCCCCGCACGAGTTATGTTGCCCCCCTGTATGCCCTCTGGCTCTATGAATGCGGAGCCACCCCCCCCCGCCCCCCTCTGATCCCCCGACAGGTGATTTAGCTATTTAGGCTTGGCGCTGGGGAAGACCGAGTCACGAAGAAACGCCGAGTCACCGTCGCTTTAATTCCGCATTGCAAAATACACAGATACATCGGAAACGCTTTCCACACGCATCGGACACACAACACTCTTACGTCACGGGGCATACAAGACGGGCAAGCACAAGTACGAGCTAGCTGCTTTCGTTTTTTCAAAGCTCGCCTTGACATTGTGCCGAGAGCACTTGACAATAGAGAGGAATTCTGTCGAATCCGCGCGGATACTATTAGTACTGTTTATGAGAAGTAAAGAAATAAACCTTCCCTCCCCCGCTCCATCTTCCCCAAAAAAAGAAAACCCCCCAAAACGAAAAGACACACACGACACCGAGAGTCGGCTGGCTCATCTACACACACAGCGACTCGGAGATGCGCGTCTTGTGGTAGCAGACGCGAGGAAGAGCCAATCTGAACGCTATGGACGACGTTGCTGTCGTCACAAATGGATGTTTTCATTCTTTAGGATGTGCAGTAGCAGCAGACGAATCGAATTGATGAGTGAAACGAATTAAAAATTTGAAAGAAGTAGAACGATTAATTTCTCTTAAAGAAATGTTTTATCTCTCTTTGAAAACTTTCTAAATTAAATATAATATCACATTCGTATATGTAGATATAATAGATTTCAAAGAATTGAAGCGAGTCAGAAAAATACATGTCCATTAATAATTCGATTCTTCTGATAATACTATACATATTTTCTATCCATCATCTACTATTATATTCGATGATGAGAGATGAAATCGTCGCATGATAATCTCTAGTCCTTTTCATTTAATGTCATTTAAATTTAATATGAATCTCGTTTTATTTAAAACGAGAAATAGTAGTGTGTAGACTACGGCATATTTCCAAATTACTATCAATTTCTTAAAAGTTTTAAATATTTGCAAACATTTTTCTCTCGGGAATTATTGACTATCATGTGATAATATTATTGATATATATATATTTAATTGAAAACTCCAATATTACATATAAAATTTCACATAATGTTCCCAATGTTTCTTTAACAGAACAAGACATCTATGTATTTATTCATCTTTAAGCTGGAAAAATGAGATTTTTTTTTAAGGTTTGCCGAATTTTGCTTGAAATTATATTTTTTCGTGTATCAAACTTTTTTATATAATGTTCTCAAATGTGTCCATATTTTTCATTTTGCAGGATTGCAGACAGAAGTTTCAGGGCGGTTCCTTCTTCGATCACGAGGGATTGCCGTATTGCGAGACACACTATCACGCCAAGAGAGGATCCTTGTGTGCAGGATGCCATAAACCCATTACCGGTGAGTACATCGGGTTTTTGAAATTAAGATTTTAATATTTTTATGATATTAATCTCTTTTTTTTGCATTTCGTTTCTTACAGGTCGCTGCATAACGGCGATGTTCCGCAAATTCCATCCCGAGCACTTCGTGTGCGCGTTTTGCCTGAAACAGTTGAACAAGGGCACGTTCAAGGAGCAAAACGACAAACCTTACTGCCATGGCTGCTTTGAGAAGCTCTTCGGATGAATAATCTTCGTCTTTTTCGAAAAAACATTTTTTTTGTAACATAACGAAACGAGTTTCTCTCGGCATTTTATTATTCTTGACGAAATCCGTACACGGTATAAATACTTACTTGCTTTGATTGTCTATATAGAAGTGCAAGACAAGGACTCACATTGCCTAAAGTAGCCTTCTAGAATTTCCATTTTTTTAGTAAATATTGACTAATGGGTAGTTGCATGCAAAAGAAATATCACGAATAGATTAAAGGAATTAATGGATTTATTATCCTGTTTCGATCGCCGTTTTTTTTTACGCAATCGAGATCATTTCACACAATTTCTTCCTTCAAAGAAAATGAAATAAGATTATAAAATTGTTATATCTGAATGTACAGTTCAGATCTCGTTTCTCGATTAATATTGACAAGTAAATTTCAATAGAAACTTAATTTACGGAAATAAAAATTGTTGAAATATTTAATGTTAAAATTAAGAAATTGCAACAGATTTTTCTCCTATCAAATTTCCATTTAATCAAATTCAAATTCATACAGCAATTAGTAGATGCGATAGAACACTCTAATTTTTGTACGTCTTAGAAATTCTCTATTTAATTTTTCGTGATAAATCACGCATGTTTCTAAAGCTGCTCAGTTTGAGTTCGTTATGCCGTTTTAAAGATTAACGAAAAGGGTGCTATACAATAATTCATTGTTATTAATAATTTGTATCGATATCTAGTAATATTTGTACAACCGTCAATCTTTGCCACCAAATATCTCCCCGACGACAGCTCTTCCCATGCGTTAGAAATATTTCGTATATTTATAAAATATTTAAATAGCATTAGTATAATAATCATTTCAACATTACCGCGCGAATAGCGTTACATACGCAAAGTTTATATACGCCTGCTATATCGAGTCGCATATATTGCCATATAAAAGTAATCGAGGAAATAAAGATATACATAGAACGAATTCGCGTCACCACGTACAAAAACGACGCTTTAGCGTACAGAGTTGGAAAATGGAAGGAAGATATGCCATTATAGTTTTGAGATTTATTTCTATTGAATAGAACAAAAAAAATTAGTATACATATAATATGTATAGACATGTATACACGAATAATAAATTTCTTAAATAGGCGCCTGTGTGGGTGTGTATATGTAAAAAAAATTGACCATTCGTGACTGTAGAAAACTATTCACGTATGCTCTTATAACATCGAATAAATTCGAACAAATTATTTTAGAGATATATATAAAAATATATTCTTACAGCTAATGTCACTGACCTTGATAATTAATAATTTTGTAAGAAATTTGGTATGTTATTAATACAGTCAAAACAGTTAGACAATGCATGATACTGTGTGGTATTACTATTTGTGCTGCATAAAGCTATCGAAAATTGATTGATAAAAGAGAGAAAGAAGAGAGGAAAACAAACTTGTTTCTTCATAGAAGCTCTCTCTGCCATTTAAAAAAAAAACTTGTATTAACTTTTATTAGAGAGCCTCTTTAAATAATTACATTTCTCTGTCACTTCATAATTATCATTTAAATATATCTTGTGATTAAAATAATTTAATCATACAGGTATTCATGCACACTGAATGTGAACTTAGATACATAACTTTATTACAAAATATTTACATAACTTGCAACTCATTTGTCCAAGAGTTATCCAGTTTCATTCGTTTGTTACGAAGCTAAACTGCTCGAGAAAAAAAAAGTGCGCGAGAGTTTAGTTGAAGTCTGCAAGTTTCTATCCAATGTTAAATGAACGACAGCACGTTTTTATGTTTTGATTACCCGGCATGTTGCAACGATACTTTCCGAAAGCGAACCTCTCCCCTTTCCTTTCCCTTTTGTATCCTACTGTCGCTGAAATTCCCCGTATCACAGACGTAACGATGCGGCATCGATCTGGCGCTCGCCTCGGCAGCAGCGCGCCTTATCCGGAACTGTCAGCCCAACGTGGGAAACAGCTGAAACTCGCTGAAATTCTCGGACCAGAAAGTTTCGAACGAAAGGGCGTCCGACATGTGTGATTGCGGGGAATCGTGGGACTCGTAGCCACCGTCCGACAGACTGGCGCAGTCCAGCTGCGTCGCCGTGGAGACGCAGCTGTCTACATCGCTCGTAGCGGGCGACATGGAGTTGGTGTACGCCGGTGAGAACTCCGTCGAGCGGCCGAGAATGCCCGAGGAGGGAACGGCGAGATGCGCGGCGTCGTCTGTGACGTAGCCAACGCCGCCGCTCTCGCTACTGACCACCTCCTGCACGCACTCTTGAATGGCCATGCAGCCGTCGCTCTCCTCGCCCGGATACACGATCGTGATGGAATTGGTGGTCTCGTCGTAGGTGCCGTAGAGGGTGTCGAGATCCGACGTCGTCTCGGACTCCTGCTTGATCTCGGCCTCGGTCTTGATCGACTTCGCGCTCGCGTCGCAATCCGCGAGGAACCAATTGTTGGACGTACTACTTCGTAGACAGGTGGACGGCGCGCCGGCTATGCTTCCACCGGTTCGATTGGCTTCCACATTTTCTGATGTCTGCCCCACCAGTGCTTCTGGATGGTCAGATTTTTTAACGGGAGCTTCGCTGACGGACACCTGCGTAGTGAAGAGCGATCGGCAGGTCATTAAGGGGGAACGACTAAATCATGAGGAACGCGCGGTTGTAGAGGAAATGAATGAAACGTTCGGACTTTCTCCGGAGATTAAAAACTGCGCATTCGCACCGCTATAGGATTACGACTCCGTTCCACCTCGGAATATTTCATCCATCTCTACGTTATATCTAAGTTAACTCTATGCGCAAGCATGCATGCGATTTATTTATCCTTTAATAAAAGAAAAAGCAGAAAACTTGAACTCCCGAGAAAGAATAACGAGCGATGTAATTACAATGTTAGAAACTATTAATGTGCACCTCTATATTAAATTAAAAATCAATTATAGTTTATATAATTAGAAGCGTAGCGACGGTAGTTACATTTTGCCGATTTACTTTGAACAAAAGAAATAATGAGAGAGAAAAGTGCGCGATACAACGTGAGGGTGCGATTATACATCGACTGCAACTCCCGAGACTCACTTGTTCATTTGATCTATGAGGATTTGCTTCAATTTCTGGGGTGACTTCTCGCAGAAGACTTTCCGCCAGCTCTTCGAGTCGCTCGGCGTCGACGTTGTCGAAAGCGCTGAACAGTTCCTCAAAAGGAGATAGAGGGTCAGGAAGTTCAGCAGCGCGACCGTCTCTTGCGTCCGCGTCAGGCGCGATGCCGACCGTGCTGTCCCACCCTGCGGCAGAGGGTCATTGGGGGATACTGCAGATCCCAGCGAAGGTACAGCACCGTCGACACGGGTCCGACAGGCGGAGCAGATCGGTTGCTGCTGATCTGCTGTGAACGTGTTTCTCACAGCGTCCCTCTCGTTCGTAAGCCTGTTATTTTCATTCGACAGCCATTCGTTTTGCGACTTGAGCAGCTCGTTCTGTGACCTCAGCCTCGCGCATTCCTGTGTAAGCAGCTCGTTCCTTTCCTTCTGTGTCCTCACCGTCTCCTCAAGCTCGTCCAATCTTGCCTTCTTACGGTCTCGCGATGTCTGGGCGGCCACTCGATTCTTCAGTTTTCTGTTGAATAAAAAGAAACGTCGATTCGTTAAATCAAGCAACGAATAAGCAAACAAACAGCTGAGATAATCATTTATTTAAAAAGGTGATGAATTCTTTCTCATGGCAAAGAACGAGAAGACGAATTATTTCTACAAATTTACAGCGGTAGAAATTTAAAAAATCGGGAAAGGAAATAGATTTTCATAAAGAAACGTTAATTATTTCGAATATATTATAATAGTACAATATATACAATATATACAATTCCATCAGAACTTTACGAAAATAATAAAGAGAATACACGTTTTCAATTTATAAAAATTAATTAAAATTAAAATTTAAAAAATGTAAAACATGTGTATTAAAATAAAATTCTGATGGAAATATATTGTATTAATATTATTAATATATTCGAAATAATTAACGAAATAATTGAAATCTATTTCCTTTTCCGATTTTTTAAATTTCTACCGCTGTAAATTTGTAGAAATAATTCTTCTCGTTCTTTGCTATGAGAGAGAATTTACCTTTTTAAATAAATGATTTTTAAATAAAATTATAATTTTAAAAATTGAAAACGTATATTCTCTATTATTTTCGTAAAATTCTGATGGAATTGTTTATATTGTATATTAATATTATTAATATATTCGAAATAATTAGCGAATTATTTAATAATTCTTTATTAAAATCTATTTCCTTTGCATAATGCACTGTTTCTCGTTTCCTTATCATTTCATCATCTTTTATAGATTTTTTTCTAATTAATAATAAGGAAATGATGAAACAGCTACTGTGGAGTTAACTCATTATTTCCAGACCAGTATTAACCGGACGTACACAGGTAGCGATTATCATGTAATCGCACATTTACGTCAAATAGAAACGAGTCATCAAAGTCGCGCGTAAGCCGAGCGAGGTGGTCACGTTTAATGTGCGAAAGAGAGAGAATATTATTCCTGTAATTCGCGAAATAAGCACTTCGTGTATCCTCTTACGTAAATATTGCTCTTTCAGAATCTCAATTTAGAGAACAAATTCGCTTATTATTAGGGAAACCGTCTGTTGCGACACTACGGCTCGCCGATAAGCGAGATAAGGCTTATCATGCAAGCTGAGTAAAGAGGAAACGCCTGTTGAACATTAAACATGCGAGTTTTCAAAACTATGTCTGGACCGTGGATAAATCAATATGCGTCGACAACGCCAATGAGCAATATTGATACAATTCATGTGGATGATGTAACTCTATATAGGGTGAACCTTTGGAAACAGAATTTGTTATCTTATACTTTCTTGATACAATTCATATGGATGATGTAACTCTATATAGGGCGAACCTTCGAGAATGTTATCTTATACTTTCTATACATAAAAAGTTTTCTCTCTTCCTATCTCTTCTTGGAAAACAATTTCCAAGGAAAAATCTGGACAGATAAGAGCGTCCGGTGGGGGAGACAATAGGAAGCTCCGGTCATTGCCCCCTCCCTCCCCCCGCTCTGGAATTGAGTACAAAAAAATTCAGAAATTTGCTCTCCCATTTTTATCAATAAATATGTTTATCAAATGTGAGAGAGCTAAAGTACACAGGTACACAATTTTCGGACATTCGTTCCTTGCGGTAGTTCGTATTAAAAATTTGGATCATGCCCCCATTCTAGAAAAAAATTCTGCGGACGCCCTTGTGTATAGGAATGACAATCCTGATAAATGGATCCTCTCACTTACTTTCGCTGCAGCTTCTCCTCCCACGTTAGGTGATCCAGTCGGCGTTTCTTGCCGCGCACGCGGGTGTCCACGGGCTCGAGGAGCGTCGCGACGTCGTCGTCGTCGTCGTCGTCGTCGCGCGTCTCCTGCTGATGGCCGGCGGCGACCTTCCTGCCGTCCATCCTCGCCTTCTGATCCATCAGGATCGACGTCGTGAAGTTGAGCTTGGGCAGCGCGTTGCGCGACGGCTCGCCGTTCCTCGAGATCGCCTTGGGCACTCCCTTAGGCAGGGTGATGATGACGCTCTTCATGGAGCTCATAATCCGCCATGCGACGTGACGCGACGCGTCTTACTCTTTTTCCCTCTCGGTGTATCGCCCCGATCTCTTGAGCTTCTCAACAGCGACGATCGCCGGTGCCCTCGAGCCTCCGCGTGACAGATCCGAACTCAACCCGAATCGCGACTGATCTGATGTCAACCCGGACGCGACACCCAACCTGGACACACCACCACTGTTCGATGCGGCTGACGCGAATAAACTGACGCAACATACCGACGCTTGGCTGTCACCAGCTTCGGCCAAGCACGTGTTGCGGCACGATTGGCCGAGCGTGAGGATCTACGCCATCTACACGCCAATCATCGCCGGCCTGTCCGCCGCTCGATGCCGCCAACTTCGTGCGTCACTCCGCATCCGGGATTCTCAAACCATGAATCTCTCCTCGTGATCCAATTGCGGAATTGAATTTTAAAAAAGCAAAACGGACGATCGATTTTATTGTAAACGTATAAAAAATTGAATACTCTAATAATAGGAGTATAGGCGTTTTGGGGAAAAATATGTAGGTTGTTAATTCTTTGGTTGTTAATTCTCGGCGCTACCGCAATCCCGGAACTTGAGAATCTCTATTTGAAATGTACTGTCACGCATTGTTTCCTGTTGTTTTCTTTGATGACGAATACGATACGGCCTGTGAGCGCTTTCCCAAAGCCGCATTATTGCCTTTGTGTATAACATCGCTTGTATGTTGCATCAGAATTGTTTTGACGCATTAAAAATAGACTCATACGTCTTGTAAAAAATTAACGATGACATCAAACATTAATACGCTGTAATAAATGAGCGAAATATTGTAAAAAACATAAATTATGGAAATATTAAATAGATAGATTGCACATATGAGTTGATATGTATTTCATTGTAAAAACTGTATATAAAAAAATTAATCGATTTTGTTATATTCATCTGCTCAAAGAGAAAAACAATTTGTATGAATTTTTGAATACATAATTTTAAAATTTGAATTGACTAAAGTGTGGAACGTTTCTGCAGCGATTTAAAAAAAAAAGATTTGTCCCCATTTCTAGCTTCGTACAGAGTAACTCATACGTGCCACAAACACAATACAAAATATTTCGATCAAATACACGCGTCGGAAGGCACCCTTATGCTCGATAAATCATCCAAAAAAATTATATGAAAAAAGCTCCTTATTAGACACAAATAATATAAATATATGTATTATGATAAAGAATACATATACATTTAGATTGTTTGAGTCTAATAAAGAGGTTTTCTTCATATAATTTTATTATTTGTAGTAAGGTGTCTTACAAAGCTATAAATAATAAACATGTACGTATTTAATACATATAAGGAGGAAGTCTTAACATAATTTTTGAATACTCTCGGTGGTTTGTCAGATCTCCGGAGAGGAGACGCAAGTATGCGCGGCGTATGAATTTTGTTGAATGAAATTTGTTGGTTCTACCGGTCAGACTCGAACCATTCGAACTCGGGACCTCTGGCCTGTTACGCCACGCTCACGCTCCTCTATTTGATTGAAATATTTCGTATTGTGCTTGTGGCACTTATGAGTTACATTGTGTGAAGCTAGAAATGGAACAAATTTATATTTTTAAAACATCGCTCTAGGAACGTTTCAAACTTCGATCAGCTCTTTTATTTTTTTTTCTATTCGTTTGCTCACATATATTAATAAATTTTTGTCGATAATTATCAAACTTATAGATTCAAAAATTTGTAAATCGCAATTTCTACAATTATATAAAAAATATGCCAGTTTTTATATAATTATATTCTCTTTATAAGTTTTTAATTTAAAGTGTAACGACCAATAAACTATCTACTATTACTAATTTACTGACAAAGTTCAATTACTGATAATGGTATCAATTTCGAATTTGAGAAATCAAGTACACGTATTAAGAGAATATATGTTTCGTAAAGATGCAGTATAACGTTTTAAGAGAGCTCCTGAATTTTTGAGTGAATTTAATAATAAACTTAGAACTTATCTTAATTATGGCATTTATAATGTTATAATGGATGAAAGAAATATGTAATGTAATTTTAGAAATATTTATTTCTAAATATTGGTTATCCTTTTTTTGTATCCATATCATAACCATTTCATACCGTCAACTATCATATTCATTCATCACTATTATAATATGATTAGACCTGCAATAATATTGTATTAAAATAAAATTATAATAAAAAACATATATGTCTCAATTTATATGACAATGGTAACTGCAGTAATTGCAGTGACAAACATAACGCTAATCATAATGCTAAGATATTACTCGTATGCAACGAATAATCACGGTGCAGCAGCAACAAATGAATCATGATTGAAATCCAGTAGAAATTATCGTGACACAACAATCAGTAAAGATGACAATCAGCAACATATGAAAAGAACATCGCGACTACCTTAATTTGATATGCAATAACGATGACGCAGCAATGTTGCGATTTGTCACGCTTTATTAATTTAAAAATTCAAAATGATATATCTAACCGATGTCCATGTTGCTCCATTGCTTTGTTTCATATTAGGAAGATGTGCAAAACAAAGATTAAAGGAATGTTAGAACTAAATTAACTTAGTAAAAAAAAACGTCTCTGAAATATTTCATTTTTTGTTTTTGACATATTATATCTTTTAAAATAAAAAACATTTGTTAACATATTACATTTTTTTTTTAAAGAAAGTTGAGTTTTCCACTCTCTTTCTCTTTTGTTTTGATCATTACTTTCTTGAATTCCGAAACGAATATGAAATAATCACTCATTATTCTTTTCAAATCCAATAACATATATCGCTCTCAACTTAAAGTTCCTTCCTATTTTATTAAATTCCCTACTTAATAATATATTATGCAAATTTGCACACGCAATGCGCATAAATGCACTCGTTTATATACAACTTTAGAAAAGACAAACCGAGTCGCTAAAAGGCTATAACATTTTCTTCTTTCTATTAGAAATATTCAAATAATTCTTTAATTAAAAAATTAATTACTTTTAGAACCAATCGAGATTATTTTATTCCGGATGCCTATAAATTTTTTAGTACATTGAATTTCGATGATAATATCATTATTAAATAACATTTTATCTTTCCTATCACTTTCCTTGATAATTATGCACGCTTTATTATGCTTATACTTTAAATCCTACCGCATTGAACATTACCGTTCGATTTCGTTCAACGACAACAATCGAACGATTTCGTTCAAAATCAAATAAAAGTGATTAAACAAGAATTTGCAACAAAAATCATAAATTTTAGTAGAAAATAATTTTCTAGAACGTTAAATTTGACTTACCGAAAATTTATCCTTAAACACGTTTGTTCTTTAAACAAATTTCAACATTTTCGCATTCAATTAAAAAAATATATGGTACATGTAAGATATGTAAAAAAATACGTACAAAATTTAAAAATTCTTTTTATAATAAAAACGGTATAGCCTTTGATCGACTCAATTAAAAGATATCACTCGCATTTTTACAACAGAGACATCTCACCATGTCAAACTTAACTCGCTACGCAGCTCGTCAAAACGCACAGATTATAATTCCCTCGTCGTATTAATTCGTGAAAATCTTGACACACACTTGATTAAACGTTCGCTTGCACACTTCGGTGTAAAAAAAATGTATCGATTGAACGTTGAAATGACGCGAATCGATTGTTTACTTAAAGAAACCATCGTAAAAAGATTACTCTAAAAATATCAATTAAATCTGGATCTAAGCTCTTCGAGTCGCGCCACTTTTACATTAATCGAATGTCCTCCTGAACATTTAATATAAACTACGCTGCATTTATCGCGTTTCTGGGATCTTCGGATATTTAGCGAATTATTAAAAAGCACCGGGAATTAAACAACCTATTTACACGCAGAAATTAGAAGCAGGATTCTCATAAAATCCCTTAGTGCACTTCGAGCGCATTCTAATTCCTTTTTCCGCTCTCTGTTCTGTATTTTTGTATTTAGTATATTTCACAAGCTCCGAAATCAAGTGTGACGTCAAAAAACCAAATTAATCAACAACTTAATTGTAATTTAATTACAATAAGCAATAATTCAAATCGTGTTACAAAAGAAAATAAAAGAGAAACTTCTAAAACTTCTCACGAAAAAGCGAATCTATTGAACGAATCTGGCTTCTAATTTCCCTGATCGATCCTCTGGTGGGTCTACGCAAATTTCATCGCGCTGGATCACACCAGATTTCTATCCAGCAGTCCCCCGAGTAGATCCGATCCCACTTGAAGCAAACCCGTGGATCCGTCGCGGATCCAGTCGAAGCCGTCGAAGGATGCCATCGCGGACGTCGTGGGAGAGACTATGGGAGTTGTACCGCCGTTTTCCCCGCCGCCGCCGCCGCCGGTGAAGGGCCCGATCAAGTGCTTCCTGGTATCCGGACTGAGGTGATCCGGCAAAGATATGATGTCTGTATTCGCGCAATGCGGCACCATCTGATTGTCCACGTTGATGGACAACGGGCTCAGGTTCCTCGACAACTGAGTTGGCACATTGCGGGAATTCATTAGAGGATCCTAAAAGAATGAAATTACTGTTAGTCGAATTGTCGTTTTTACGCGGGGTACGTTTAAAAAGCGAGGACGAGTCGACGAATTTTTACAATTAAGCATGAACTGAAATTTTGCATCTTAATTCATTTAAAAAGATATCTAATTTAAAACTGATTATTACAAAAGTTTTTCATTTTAGCTATTTAAAAAAGCATGTGATATAATATTGTGATATAATTTAAAAGGTGTAAAAAAAAAAATTCGTCGAATTTCTATTGATCCTCGTCTTATCATTATACATAAATAGCTACAATTTTTTAACTCTTCAAAAGCTTAAAGTTAATTAAGAATTTAACTTGACAAATGAGTTTGTTCTTTTTGGCCGACTTGAAGGAAATAAAACATTGCTGCGTTTCGCGGAAAAGGAAAAAGGATAGAGCGGGAAGATTGTGCTGATAAGTGGCGCATTAAGCGCTTTTTAACGCCTTCGGCGCCCTTCAAGAACCTCAATTCTCGTCGTTCGCGTGACTCTAGAAGCATTTAATAAATGTAAATGAACAACTACTGAGCAAAGCGACTGTGACTATCGCGTCGCGTGATCTAGACGTAGGCGAGCCTCGTGCAGATCGTGAAGGACGATAGCCACTCCGTATGCCGATCGCAATCCTTGTTATCGAGGTAATGAAAAAATTTAACGGCCACGTATTCATTGTCCAGTAATTGACATATTTGTCTGATATATCGTTTGTCCGATATTGACTTGTCGTTTCTTCTAATTATTTGGTGAAAATTATTTTGTAATTTAGAATCAAATAATTGATATAAGCACAAGTAAAGAAATTGATTAAAATCGGTATCTAAAACTAACACAAGTAAAATTCCAAAAGGAATTATTTAAAATAAGTTAATTTTCTTTCCATAAATAGATGTTTTTATTTTGAACAATTAAATATAAACTTCTACCATATTTATATCTGGCAACATTTTAATTTTCTTAAAGAGATTTGAATTTTAACTAAACTTTCAGATAAGCTAATTATAACTCGATAAAATAAAATTAAAAGGTGTTTAATTATACCGTCTGTCTGAAACTTGTTGACTCTTGGCAGATTTGATTTTCGGTAGATTTGACAAAATTTGATAAAATTGCGAGTCAGAATGCGACAGTTGAAGGTGGGAGGAAACGAAACGCAGCTGATCAGGTGATTCGATGTTCCATGTATTTCCATACATAACATTCAATCAACAATTCCATATACTTTGCAATTTGTGTACATAACATGGCTCTAAAATACAGCTCGTTTAATCCTAGGATGCACTCCAAAGCAACGCTGCTTATATAATTATCACGCATACAACTCTAGAAATGTTATAATAAAATTCGTTTCTCTTTCTTTTTTCCTCATAATTACATAGTCTTTGTATTCATTTTTAATATGAGTAAGAGCGTTAGTCATCTATAAACTATATATATATATATATTTATATATATCTTTTGTATCTAAGATAAACATTGAACGCAGCGCATTTTAGGATTAAACGACTAAGCGAAACTACCTCGCTTGTCTATGACTCCTTCTCTTCGACCCGCGATTCGCAACAAACTCATTTTTCCTGCGTCTCTTTCTGTGACGGCGCAACTTTACACTCTCTCCTTCTCTATCTTGAAATCTCGAGGAACAGGCGGACGTATAAAAAGTAGGAAGAACTTCCATCGGCTCGAGATCGCGTTCGGATACCGCAAAAACTAGCATTCACGCCGCCTCCTTTGGCCGCCTTCTCCTACAATCTCAATCTTGCAAAAATCGACCGCGTAATAGTCGGTGAATTTTTCGTTTTCGAGTCGCATGCAAATTTCCGCTCCGGGAGAATCGACAAAACGACAGCCAAAAGAAGGCAGCTCTTCGGGCGCTCGCTTCCTCCCGGAAGCGTCCTCACGCGTTCCCGATGCCCTTCGCCGTCGGCTTCGGCTTCACCAAGCAAACGTATCCCGCACTCACGTCGCAGCCGGAAACCAGGAGATTCATTAGCACGCTGCTGCCGCCGGCGCCGCAGGTGGGATTCCTCCTCCGACTCGTCGCGTCGATCTTGTCTAGGCCGTCGCCGATACCGCCGCGATTCTCGCCCCCGCCTCCTCCCCCGCCGCGGTCGCCCTCCGTCTCGACGAAGTCGATGATGTCGTCGAGGACGCGAGCGCGCTGCTTCGAAACGTCCCCGCGACGACGTTCGCCGCCGCCATCGCGAGTGTTGCCGTCGGGCAGAGTTGCCGTCTGCGATACGATGCTCGACATCTGCGACGAGACAAGGCGGCGCAAAAGCTGGCTGCCGCAGGTGTTGCCGAGACTCGGCGGCGACTTCTTGTGAAGCGCCGTCGGCAGCCGCTGCTGCTTCGTCACCAAGGTATCCTCGAGATTTAAATGCTCGAAAGATGAATCTTCGCACTTAAGACGCTTGTACTCGCTCTCTGAGTCCGTGTTAAATCCAGGGTGAATGCGTTTATTGGGACGCTCCGGATTAGAGGACCATCGATCGGACTCGAAGAGTGTGTCTGCAAGATCAAAATAAAACGTGTACTATTATATAACTCTCTCTACAATTACTGGACATAACATTTACATACCTAATTTAAATATCTAAAGTTAATAATAAACTATCAATATAATTTGTCTGCAAATATAAAAAATGAATAAAATAAGTATAAATGAATAAATCGATGAACGAGAAAAAAGGGCACACGCTTACTTTTTCTTGGTGCTTGTCCCAGTATCTGCGTCGGATTTAGCAAACCTCCGCCGTGATCGTTGTATCGCCGCGACACCGCTTGATCGGTTCGCAGCAATTGTGCCAGACTGGAATCGGAATTACGTTGCTCTCGATCGTCGAGAAGCCTGTCGAAAAAGAAACAGCAAGATGAAAACGGAGCATGAAGAAAAATTCGTATTTCTTTTATTTTGTCTTTCGTAGCTTCTATTATTTTAAGCAATTTTATATAATTTATTTTGTAGTTATTTATATCATGATTTGTAATTTTACTATTACAGCGCAAATTTTTTGTAATATAGATCCAATTAATGGTACTCACCATTTCGAGGATCCTTTGTCGACAGATTGCGATGAGCCCCACATGACCATGTCATCGTTAATGAGGAGCTCTAACGCCTCGTCCTGGTCCGACATCGGAATATAGGGCGCTCTGAGCGCCAACTCTTCATCGCCTATGCTGTCGCTGATACCCAACATAAGCATCTCGTCCTCGGAGAGTCCATCGCCGCCGCTACCTCCTGTGGGACTACCCAGTGAGTCCACGCTGCGCTCAGGACTCTGAAACAATCGTTTATATGTTAACACAAGCGGCGATAATATTTAATTTTTTAGAAAAAAAGAATTTGAAATAAATTTTTAGTAAAAACAATTCTCTGCAATTCACTTACATGCCGGTACTTCGAGAGGGACGGCGAAACGGTGTTCGGGCCGATGCCGCAGGGACTTCCGGGCGAGTCGCCGTACATGAAGGGATCACTACTGGCCAGACGGTCGACCGCGTCCTTGGTCCTGGTAGCGGCGTCCACCAGATCTGCATCCTTGAGAGACGCCGAGAGATCCGCGGAACGTAACTCCGGCATCAGAGTGTCACCTGGACTCAGCAGGGGACAGCTGTAGTTGCCGAAGATAAACTCGTCCAGCATTTCCGACAGGAAGGGACTGTCCTCCAGGGGTACGCACACATCGCCGGCCGTGGGTGCGAGATGTGTCAGGTCCTCTGGCTCGTCCTTCAACACTGCGAAACGCAGAAAACCTCATTTAACACTTGATAATCTTTAATAAAAATTTTCGATTATTGACCGGGTGATTAAACGTCGACCAGAAAGGAGGATGAAAACGATCTCATAAATAATGAGAAAAATTGAAAAAATCCGAATCAGAAATTTCGTTAAGAATACCATTTAAGTCATAACTTTCGTTCTGGAGAGTCAAATTAAATCTACAATTGGATCGAAGATGAAAAAAAAAAAAAAGAAAATAGCATGATACCTAATTCTCACGAATTTCTCTCATATATTTTTCTTCAGACAGAATGTTCACGGATCGCGGAACGGGTGCTCCGTTAGAGAACGATAAATAATTCTCGACTCATGCGTCATATCTTTCCTTATCTTTTTCCCCTCCGAGCCTCTTTTTTTTCTCGCGAAAAATCGACAATACGGACGGAGGGTCTACTTTCTGGTCTTCGCTGGCGGAAAAGACTCGATTTTCTTTCTCGCAGAGGGAAATACGCACTAGTGAGACCCGGCTGATCCTCGCTGAAAGTCAAGAAGCCCTTGTTCATGTCCTCGGTGCGAGGCGCGAAGATGCTCGCCGTGGCCGTTTGCGGTCGACAGGATAATTGCGACTGTTCCTGCTGTTGCTGCTGCTGTTCCTGTTGCTGCACGGCGGCCGCGAGCGGTGCGAACAGATGTCTCGTGACCGACTGCGGACGATCACAGTGTCCAGCGCTGTCCGATGAATCGCTCACCACCGTCGGTTTATCCTGAAACAAAGATCGCACGATCGATCTTTAGAGGGGAAGAGGCCAAAGATACGTTATTACGGTTTGAGATAAGAGGCGACAGTTATCCTAGAGTTTACCACATCAGCACTTGCTATGTGGAGACAAGACTTTCTAACTGAGACTTGGACAAGAGTAATTGACCGATAACTTGAAAATTGCAATCTAAAATCTCACATTAAAATATCCGCTTTTAAAAAATTTTTAAATGTTATCGGTCAACTAGTTTCGTTTAACTATACTTTTACTTTAAAGCTGTTGTATATTTTTTACGTAAAATTGATAAAATATACGACAGGAGAAAAGTGTAAAAGATTGAATCTAAATTTTTAGAAATTTAATTGCATCCTTGAAAATTATTAAATTATTTGAGTTTATTTCTGTAAAGAATCATACAAATATAGAACATTTCCATTGCGCTAATCGTTCCCAAAATATAAGATATCTCCTTCAAGAGAGAAAAATATCATTTATTTTTTCTTTATCATTCTAAGATGATAACGATGTATAAGTAATGGGATTATACATTGATAAGCGACACTCACTCGACAAACATTTCCAATAAACAATAATTAGATGAAGAGAAAGAAGAAGATTGAAAATCATTCATATATTATTTCAAATATCTTAAAAAAGTAGCGATTATTATATAACAAAATAAGTCTTTTATACTAATTTAATCATCGATTAAACGATTCAACTTGCAATCAGAAAAAATTCCCAGCAATTTTCTATAGTTTCTTAACAAAAATCTTAAAAATTCTAAAAAATCAAATCTACTCGCATATCGAAAGGCTCGTGGTACCTGGAATATGAAGGGTGTCTTCTTAGCGAAGGACTGCCGGCAGTTCAGTCGGTTCACCGCTGCCGGCTCGTCGTTCTCCTTCAGCGACTCCTTAATCGACTCTTCCAGGGACTCCTTGAGAGCCTGCACGAACGCCTTCTCCTCCTGGGCGTGTTTCGGCAAGGCGTCGTCCTTCCGCGAATCGTCCTTGCAGCCGGCCTTTACGTCGACCGAGCGGAAGATCGACGCGGTGACGGCGAACGGTCGATCGTTGGACTCGTCGTCGACGGCCGATTCCTCCGCGGGAGGAATCTCCTCCTCGTCGTTGGTCAGCGACACCTGATTCGAGTCTGTCGTCGATATGGAACGTGGTGGGCCGGTCGGCACCAGGACCGGCAACGGTCTCTCTATCTTCACCAGATCGGCGTCGCTGTCACGTGCGGCCAACTGGCGCACGCTGTACACCTCATCCTCGTGCTCGATCCCACTGCAAGCAAAATCACGAACCGCCTGCGTGGATAACGTGCCCATATCTATGGGACTCGTTAAAACACGAAAGCTTGGCTAGGAAGATCGAAGGAGATCAACGGACGCCAAGGAGGAATAATAAGATGTCACCGACGCGAAGCTTAACTTGAAGATTCGCGATTCCGACTTAATTTCAATTCGATTTTTAAATTTCTTGATATAATTTACTCGTCGACTTTTTTAAATAATTATACGATGAATTGGATTAAAAACAAGTTCTTTTCTCTCTTTTCCGCGGAAGCTAAAAATAAGATGCCCAATGATAATATACGGACTGATGAGTATATTCATCTCATTATTGCCATCGTTCTTGTTTCGAAATGCATGGAAACGTACGTAACTCATCAGAATTCCCTTTAACGTGTTCTTATCAAACGGCTCTGACAGTCGGACGATACCGCGGTTACGACACGCAACACGCGATACGCAGACGTACTCGACGTTTATCAATCGCGAAATCACGCGTGCATGATTCTGAAACTCGCTGTTGTACAGTCTATCACGAAATGTTCCATACGTAAGCACGTGCACATTCACGAAATCATTCGCTGCCATCCGACAACATCTGGGGTACATACACAAGCAGCTGTCAATTGGGCAAACATGACTCCGGAAGTTTAAAATGGGCCGACAGAACGATTAAGCCGAGCGAAAAATTTCTCGGAGGCGGGACGAGCGAAAAAAAGACTGCTTTTAAAACGTCAAATCCACCCGCTTATCTAACGATTATTATTATTTGCCTAATGGTAATACGTAAGTGGTAATACGTAATGCAAGACGTAATAACGGGATGTGTATTTATCTCCAATAAATTTCCAAGATTAATAGTTATTAAAAATTTTTCATAAATTTTATAACAACAATTTTATAACCACAAATATTAATTAAATATTTTCATTGTAATTTAATAATAAATGTAATAATACCGATTCTAACGGTATTAACCAATTAACTAACAGTTGTAACTTAAAATAGCGTATAATTTTCTTTTTGAAATTTATTCGTCAAGAGTTATTCAGGGATATTCTTTTGTATTAATAAAAGTATATATAGCTATTGCTTCGAAAATTTCATTTGACGCTTTAACTGTTTCTAAAGTTTCCATTCACGAGATACGCAAGTGCATCTGCACCCGAGAGAGAAGCAGAAAGATATGAATTAAAAAACAAAAATTTCACTCGAAACGTCCGAAAATCCGTGTTCTATTTTTTCGAAATAAATTTTAAATAAGTACAAATCTATCGCTATATGCAAGACTGCAGTGAATTTTATCGCCAATGTAAACTTACTGTGTTACGGAATTTTGGAGAACATTTGAAGTTGTCCGCCCGATTTGTATCACTTCTCTAAACTTCTACGTCCCAAATATATATATACAATTCGCAGAAATCGCAGAAATATATATATATATATTGTATATATATACAATTGCAATCGATCGTTTCTACCGCACTTTCGAGATACCTTCCTCCTACCGCCTCACGCAATCAGTTGCGGATGCACGCGTGAACCGACCGCGCGACACGCACCACGCGCTGCACGCACATCACTATCTCACCACTCCCACCGTCCCGGATCATTCAGCATCCATTCGGACTTTCGTGCTCCCTGACGACGGGCGCGTCGTTGCCCTCGTGCACTCTGTCTCTCTTTTTTTTTCTCTCTCTCTCTCTCTCTCTCCCTTTCTATCCCATTCGACTGTCGCGAAGCGCAATCACGTCTCTCTCTCTCTCTCTCTCTCCTTCGGCTCGAGACAGAAGGCTCGCTGTAATCACGAGAACGCGCTTATGTAACTGACGGCTCGTGACTGCCAATCGACGTCTTTTTCCACGCGTCGCGCTCCGCGCCGCGACGATTTTCCGCGCTTTTAGAACGATCACGGGGAAACGCGTGTTACTTCACAACGGCAACGCGACGGTTTCCTCGCAAGCAACGTCTCGAACGTCTCTGAAAAAAAAAAGCGTCGCGATCTACAAGCTCTGAAGGACCGATCTTGGGTTCGCTCTCGCGGGATTCGCAAGGTTTCGCGAATTTCAAAGGTTTTGCCAGTCGACGTATCTTTCCACTCGATGACTGACAAGACACGCCTCGCGAAAGAAACCGCCGGTACTTCTCCGTAAAGACCGTAAAGCGATATCGACTATAAGCCATCTGTTACGTCACGTTACATGCCATTGCGTGTGAACATTGCCGACAAACATCGTTGATTCATTCAACGTATGTATACGATCTTTTTATAAAGTGTATCCAGTCGCTATTCTTAACCTTTGACACGTTATTATTTTCGAAACGGGATTAAAATAGAACTGTAGCAACGTGCGAGAAAACGGCAGGGAAGCGTCGAATAAAATTAAAAGGAATCTACAACAAACGGCGATCCAACTGGCAACAGTAGAGAACTGACTCATGAAGAGAAAAACGGTAGTCGAGAAGTCGAGTGAAATAATACAAAAGTCTCTACAAAGGCTCTATGACGATCTAACTTGACAATCGTACGACCTCGAGGAATTATAAAGTTCGCAAACAATGAAATGCAACGACCCTCGATTTTCACTTTTTAGCGTTTCCGAGCATTTGGACGAAAAAAAATCGAAGAATAGAACGGCGAAAAGAATCGACAATTAATCGTTCAATGCCGGCATAATAGGTCTCGCAAGCTCGCTTACGTAGGCACGATTACGCCTGCATTTTTCTTCGATCACACGAGGCACGGTTAAAGTTAATCCGGCCTTAACCCTGAAGATAACCCCGGATATATTATATCGGTCTAAACAACGTGCAACGTTGCCTCGCCTGTAGCCGTGCGCGATTTAACCCTTTGGCCCTCGCAAGCTTCGAATATTTTCAGCTCGACCGACCGATTTTTCCTGACAATGTGCGTTATATCTCGTACATTACTTTATGCAATATCGAACGTAACGGAATTACATAATATGTACATTTTATCGGGTAGTATTTATGTGCTTGACAGAGCCGAAATTGATAAAAAAAGATAAAAAGAGTGGATAGAAAAAAAAATATCCGTCTATCACCTTCTGATTTAAACTTTTTAGGGAAGAGAATCTCTAAATGTATAAAGTTATATAACTGCAAAATTAAAGAATAACTTTTAAGCGCTTGGTACAACTTTGATCTTAAATTATGCTCGCGATTGTCGTAATGCTAATTAAATTACTTACATCCTGCCTCTAATCTTACTAATACTCAAATTACGAGACAACTCTCTTCTGCGTCACGCCAAAAGCAACCTGACTGTCATTCACTTCTCGTATATCTGGTTATTTTATTCTTGGCGAGGAAAACTTCAATCGAGATCCCCGCTGATATCAGCACGTGCGGCACGCGCACGTGTGCGTATACACGATTTTACGCGAATTTCTCCGTGAGCCTTTCCTCCCGCGATCGCCGGATTCGCAGACCGTCGCGCCGCGCCGCGCCGGCGAGGATCCGTCGCGGATGATTCGTCGTGTGCACGTATCTACGCGAGCACTAAGTGACTTTAACCGGTCGCAACGGCTCGGTAATTGCCGCAAATTGACCAGCGGATCCCAAATGTGTGGCGGGACGCGTGTGTGGCGGAGCGCGCGGATTATACGTGCAAAATCAGATACGCGCACATTAGAACCGCGAGAACCTCCGCATATGTACACGCGTCACTGTGTGTGCTGTATGCGCGCGCGCGTCGTGTGTGTGTGTGTGTCTGTCAAAAATCTGTTTGGATTAAAGAATTCGATCGGGGAAACGAACGAACGCGTTATCGGGTTCGAAAATATCTGCGTACAAACATCAGCCGTAAAGTTATCCTGAGAACTTAAATATGCGATAAGATAATTGTCACGAACGTGGCAAACGTGGATATAAATTAGATGAAGTGAGTGAAGCATTGAACCGTAACGTCTTTATTTGTACTTATATCAATGCATGATTTATTTTATTTTATAACGTTCGTATTTTTATGTCTTTTATGTCTGCGTATATTTTCGTACCAATTTATACAGCCCGTACAAAATACGAGATTACATTTTCGGGTTCTTTGTTTCACGATTTTTCTCACGTTCACTCGTAATTCGATTCGAACACTTTATTTCTGCAAAGTCCAAGCGCTCCGCTTCTCCTCGCCAACAACTGGCGACGACTCGCACGCGTATTTTATTGAAATAGCCTACATTTGTCCGTTCGCTCTCTCGATTGGACCTAATTCCAAGGGACGAAACGACGCCTTTACGTGTACGTTTCTTGCGCGGATAATTGAATAAAGTTGACTTTTGCGCGAACAAACAATCACGAGACCTCTCCGGATGGGATGTCTTTATAAACTGCATCGAGTCAATGCACTTTATGACAGCGCGTTTAATCTCTTAGATTAGAGAATTTAATGAAAAATGATCCAATACAGTTCTGTCTGTATTAAAATATGGGATTTAATAGCTAACAGAATATTGGAGATTCAATAATTTGATAAATTACGTTGAATGAAAGACACTAACGAGCCCGTTTACAGCGAGTCTCGTTTCCGTTACGGATGATTTAATTGCGAAGTTGATTGACGAGCTATTTGATGTATAAAGTTAACGATGATAGTGAAATATCTTTTAATGGACTTCGTAAATGTCAACGTGTCGTAAACTAAGTACAGGAAATCCAGATATTACAAATTCCTCAGTATCATTTTTACATTGCAGACTAAAAGGTACTTTCCGAGTTTTGCATCACATTTACGGATTTATGTCCTCCGTTCTGATAAAAGAATTTCCTTGTTCTCCTTCTCCCTCACACGTAATAATATATAACTTTATCGCGATCCCGGAGCGAACCCTCCGGGGTCACAAGGGTGTTCGCAGTACGTAACACACCAATGAATGGAGAATAAGTACTAAGGTACAGCTGAAGTCGGGCTATAATCGAGTTCAATGAAAGCACAAATAAAATTAGCAAATTTTCTTCACGAGAAAGCGAGAG